TAGCCTGCAACCTTGCTAAACTTACTTATGTCAGTTCTAGTAGCTTTTTTGTAGATTCTATAGGATTTTCTACATAGATGGTATGTCTTCTGGGACATGTCCTTTCTAACCTGGATACCTTATATTTCTATTTCTTGCCTTACTGCACTGACTGGAACCTCCAGTACAATTGAATAGAAGTGGTGACAATGGACATTTTGGCCTTGTTCCTGACCTTAAGGGGAAGCATTCAGTCTTTCACCGTTAAGTATGATGTTAGGTGATGTTAGCTGTAGGGTTTTCTAAATGCCATTTGTCAGGATGAGGAAGCTCCCTTGTATTCCTAGCTTGCTGAGAGTTTAAATCCAAAATGGATGTTGGATTTTATCAAATATTTTTTCTGTATCTATTGATAGAATCATATGATTTTTCTATATTGGTCTGTTAATGTGGTCAATTATATTGATTGGTTTTCAAATGTTAGACCGACCTTACATTCTTGGGATAAACTCTGCTTGGTAATGATTATATATTATTGGATTTGATTTTTTTAAAATTTTGTTAAGTACCTTTGCTCCAAAATGATAGCTTGAATGCAATGAGATGGATAGAGTTGGGTATTTTTTAAATTACTGATTTCCAATTTTATTTGTTCATTATATCTATTCTTTGTTACACGTTGAGAGTTCTTTTTGTTCAGTAAGTGATCCTGTTTATGTAAATGTTCTATGTGTGCTTGATAAGAATGTAGTCTCTCATTTTTGGATACAGCGTTCTTTTTTTTAAAATTAATTAATTAATTTGGTGCATTGGGTCTTAGTTGCAGCCCGTGGGCTGCTTAGTTGCAGCAGACGGGCTCCTTAGTTGTGGCATGTGAACTCTTAGTTGCGGCATGCATGTGGGATCTAGTTCCCTGACCAGGGATCGAACCCAGGCCTCCTAAATTGGGACTGCGGAGTCTTATCCACTGCGCCACTGGGGAAGTCCCCAAGGTTCTTTTTTTTATTAAAGTATAGTTGATGTATTACAATTTTTTGTTAGTTTCTGGTGTGCAACAGAGTGATTCAGTTTTATATATATATATATATATATATATATATATATACACACACACACACACACACACACACACATATATAAGAATATATGATGAACCTAGGGCAGGACAGGAATAAAGACACAGACTTAGAGAATGGACTTGAGGGCATGGGGAGGGGGAATGGTAAGCTGAGACGAAGTGAGAGAGTAGCATTGACATATGTACACTACCAAATGTAAAATAGATAGCTAGTGGGAAGCAGCTGCATAGCGCAGGGAGATCAGCCTGGTGCTTTGTGACCACCTAGGGGGTGGGATAGGGAGGGTGGGAGGGAGGTGCAAGAGGGAGGGGATATGGGGATATATGTATACATACAGCTGATTCACTTTGTTATACAGCAGAAACTAACACAGCATTGTAAAGCAATTATAGTCCAATAAAGATGTTAAAAAATATATTCTTTTTCATAATCTTTTTCATTATAGTTTATTACAGGATGTTGAATATAGTTCCCTGTGCTATACAGTAGGACCTTGTTTTTCATATATAGTAGTTTGTATCTGCTAATCCCAAACTCCTGATTTTTCCTTACCTCATCCCTTTCCCCTTTGGTAACCATAAATTTGTTTTCTGAGTCTGTGAGTCTGTTTCTGGTTTTGGATACAGGGTTCTTAAATGTCCTTTATATCAAGCATGCTAAATGTGTTTATCTTCCTGTGTCCCGAGTAATTGTTGTCTGGTCTCACTCATTGTTTTTGTATTTTTTTTTTTTGGCTGCACTGTGTGGCTTGTGGGATCTTAGTTTCCCCACCAGGAATTGAACCTGGGCCCCAGCAGTGAAAGCTCTGAGTTCAGGGAAATCCCTGGTCTCACACTTTTTAAAAAATTTTAAATTTATTTATTTATTTTTGTCTGCCTTGGGTCTTCGTTGTGGTGCGCGGGCTTCTCATTGCGGTGGCGTCTCTTGTTGCGGAGCACGGGCTCTAGGCGCACAGGCTTCAGTAGTTGTGGCACGCGGGCTCTAGAGTGCAGGCTCAGTAGTTGTGATGCACGGGATTAGTTGCTCCGAGGCATGTGGGATCTTGCGGACCAGGGCTCCAACCCGTGTCGCCTGCATTGGCAGGTGGATTCTTTACCACTGTGCTACCAGGGAAGTCCCTGGTCTCACACTTGAATAGTGGTTTAGTTGAGTACAGATTTGTCAACAGCTGTTTGACAATACTGTATACCATTATCTTCTGACCGCTGGGTTTGCTCGTAAGACATGTTTTTTGGTTTCATTAGTTGTTCCTTTGTAGGTAACCAACTTTTCCCCCCTCTGGTTGTTTTTACTATTTTGTTTTTAATCTCTGGTGTTCTGTAATTTCACAACAGTGTGTCTAGGTGTGGATTCATTGTTATTTACTGTGTATAGGAATTGGAGTGCTTCCTTACTCTGAGGACTCATATATCTCTTCAATTTTGGAAAATTCTCAACCATTATCACTTCCTTTTCTACACCTTTTACTGGAAATATACTGGACCTTATTATTTGATCCTCCATGTCTCTTAACTTCTGTTTCATATTTGAAAAATCACTTTATAATTTCCTTTAGCATATTTATTTCCCAATTCACTATTTATTTCTTCTTCTGCATCAGATCTGGTTGTTTTTCATTTTGAATCTAATGACTACCAGTTCCTTCAAGCTCTCTTATGTTCTTTTCAATATGTCTAGGTTTTTTTAGAGTTCTGTTCTTTCATTATGGATTCTACCCCTTTATCCCTACAATAATTTTAAATATTGTTATTTTTAGTCTTCTTTTGATTGTTCTACTCTCTCAGTTCTTCTTTTCATTGTGTTACTGATTTTCCCTCGTGGCGAAATGTTTCCTCACGTTTCCTCTGTAATTAGTTATTGTGCATTTTGTGAATTCATCTTCTGCAGAGGTTATTTTCTGTGAGTGTCTCATTCCTAGGTTGTTGAGTGGCTTTACAATGGTTTCTGCCAAGGAGTTTTCAGTGGTTTAGGACTAAATTTTTCCATTAATTTCCTGACTTGGGGTTCCCTTACCACATTTTGGACTATATATCTACATGTGTCTTGGGGTTTCAGTTTTTCATTAAATTTTATTTTCCCCACCTAGAACCTGACATGTTTCCTTGCTGCTTCCATGACCTAGGTCCTTTTATTCATGGAGGGAACAGCCCGAAGGGCCCCAGATACACCTACGGTCTCATTTCCAGTTCCTAAATTCACGAAGGCCTAAGGCCACATTTTGTTCTAAACTGGCATTAAAACCCAAGTTCCACAGGCCTATATCCAGGTCAGATACCAGTTTTGACCTGTCAGTTCATGCACTTATTATTCAGGTTTCATGTTTTCTTTTTGTTTCTGGCACCTGAGAATTTCTCTTTCCGTCTGGCTATGTGAATAGTGGTGCTGTGACCATTGGTGTACAAATGTCTGTTCGAATCCCTGCTTTCAGTTCTTTTGGGTGTGCCTCCAGAGGTGGAATTTCTGGTTCAAATGGTAATTCTATTTTTAATTTTTTGAGGAACTGTCATGCTGTGTTCACTGTGGCTGCACCATTTTCCATTCCCGCCAGTAGTGCATCAGGGTTCCAGTTTCTCTACATCCTTGCCAGCACTTGTTATTTTCTGCTTTTTTTTTTTTTGGCCACGCCCTGCAGCATGTGAGATTTTAGTTCCCCAACCAGCGAACGAACCTGAGCCCTTAGCAGTGAGAGTCCTAACTGCTGGACCGCCAGGGAATACCCATACTTTCTGCTGTTTTGATAATAGCCATGCTAATGGGTGTGAAGTGACATTTCATTGTAGTTTTAATTTTCACTTCCCTAATCTTCAGTGGTGTTGAGCATCTTCTCATGTGCTTCTTGGTCATTTGTATGTCTTTTTATCTTTTACCTCTGATATTTTTCCTGCTTTACTGCATACTTTCTCTTTCATGTGAATTAAGATTGAGCTTGTCAAATTTCATAAGGAGCCTGATTGGGATTGTATTGGATTTATACATTAATTTGAGGATTAATGGCATGTTTACAGACTTGAATCTTTCTATTCAGGAACACTGGGTATCTCTCCAATTGTTTTTTCTTCCCCTGAATTTTCAATAAAGCTTTATGAAGATTTTGCACACTTTGGATTTATTCCTGGATATTGCATCTTTTATATTGCAATATGTGGATTATATTGCAATATATGGATTACTGATAATGGTGGGTGGGATGAATGGCTTATTTTAGACTTGTTCATGTTGAGACCTACCTTCTACATTATTTTCTTTTATTGTTGATTGACCCCACTAGCTTGGATTATCACCTCTTATGAGTTTAGAATCTTTTGCAAAATCAGAGCTATCACAACGCATATTTTTTCTTCAGATCATTTATGAAAATATTAAGCAAGTTCTATCCCAGAATTTATCTCCATGATACCATAGTGTTTGTATTTATCCATCTAAAACAAAGTTTATTCCTACTCTAGTCTACCATGAATTCTCAGGAACCTTAACAATTAAACGTCTCCATCTAGAGAAGTCCTTAGGTATCCCAATCATTTGTTTCTATCTAAGGAAACTCTTTATTCTTAGCCAAATGGTACCCGTCAATTTTTATTTTTTTAATTTTGGCTGCACTGGGTCTTTGTTGTGGTGCGGGCTCTTCATTGCAGCGCACGGGCTTCTCTCTAGTTGCGGCACGCGGGCTTGTTGCCCCGAGGCATGTGGGATCTTAGTTCCCTGACCAGGGATCGAACCCATGTCTCCTGCATTGGAAGGCGGATTCTTAACCACTGGACCATAAGGAAAGTCCCTACCCTTCAATTTTGTGTTAATCCTTTCCTCTCTTCTTTTCTCTCTCTCCCCTTCTCCCCACAGTTCTTCCTTCTTCTCTGCCTCCTTGCCATTTTTCTTCTTCTTTTTTTTTCCTGTGTAGCTTTGGACCTGAGCAGGGACTAACTTGTGACCTCTGCTCATCCCCAGCCAGGACATCACAGGTGATATTTACTATTTCAACTTTGCCAACGGGCAGTCCATGTGGGACCACCCCTGTGATGAGCACTATCGGAACTTGGTGATCCAAGAACGGGGGAAACTGTCGACTCCTGGGGCTATTAAGAAGAAAGAAAAGAAAAAGAAAAAGGAAAAGAAAGACAAGAAGGACAAAGAGACCTCCAAAAGTCCCCTGGTGAGTCAGAGAGGCCAGGCCTGAAACCTGAGGGATATCGGGAACCTCTAGCTGTTTACAGCCGGGAGGTTAAGAATAACAACAATAATATAGTCACTTTTTGATAGTGCCTCATCTGAATTATGCCTGTCTTCTGGCAAATTTTCCTTTCAGGCTTCTAGAAGTGGTTACTATCTCTAAGCAATTTCTTTTTCCCCCTTGGGAGGCACATATGACATAATAGGATGAGTGAGGGAGTGCCCTGCTGAGGATGGGGTTTTGCAGTGACGCCGCCTGCCCCTCTGGAGAGTTGGGGCACAGGGAGCACTTGGTGGAGGCCAGAGAACCCAGAGGAGCGAGTGCCTCTCCTCTCCTTTCCGAGCCAGGCTTTCCTCGTGTGGGTTCATCATGTGTCTTGGTGGTGCAAATTCCTAGATGTCTGATGAGCCATAATTCAGTTGTCAGAACATCAGTGCCTTCAAGATCCAGAAAGAAAAGCTTGAGGCTTTATCTGGCCCTGTGGATGGCCTTTGCTGCCAGTGTCCTCGGTTCATGGTGGATAACTGACATTTGATTGCAGTGTCATCACCTTGGTCCCAAGTAGCTTTTTTACTCAGAGTTGAAAGTTATCTTTCCCATTATCATTCTATTTGTCCCTCCAGGTGTGAGGCAGGTGGGCCACATTGAGGAGAGGGAGGGACTTGGGAACCCAGTTTAGCCACTTGGGGAACCCTGGGAATACCTCTTCAACCCTCTTAATGGTCGAGTTGATTTGCTCTCTTATTTATGGTCTTTATTTCCCACTGGTGCCTGGTGCTTACTTCTCAGTGAAGATTTCCTCCATCTTCCTTCCTTTGCAAGGTGTCAGTTCTGAAATTGGATAGTTGCTGATGAATTTAGCTCTTTTCATCATTTCCAAGCTCTACAGTTACTCCCCCCCACCCCAATATTACTAATCATGGTTCTGAGAAATAAGACAGCAAGTCCATTCTTCCAGGTGGAGAAAAGAGAACAGGTAATTTCCAAAGAGGCTGAATTTTCTAATGCCGTGTGTTTGAAAGGTAAAAGATGTATAATGGGCTTTCCACTAACCCCGGACTATTTTACATGATAATCGGCATCTGGGCAGGCTCTGGCATGACTGAAGGTGAGAGAGGGAATGAAGTGAGGGTTCTGGGGTGGAGGGTTGGGTAATAGACTGAGCTCTGGGTGTGTGACTGAGTTCCTGGAGCTCCCTGTTAAAAAGGATTCCTCCTGTGGCTTCAGGAGCTGAGGGCAAGTGGACTGCCCTGGGCTCCCAGTCTGGATCTTAGGGCTCAGGACAGGCGCAAACCAGTGTGTCCAGGGGCAGGCCTGACCAGGTGGGCGACCGGGCTCAGGTGGTTTGGGCTCTCTGCAGGAGAGCTGGGTGGAGTTTAGGGTGAATGCAGGATGTGGTTGATCTTTTATGGTTTTGTCTACCCCAAGATTCCCTGACTGTGTGGACCTCTCTTGAGCAGTACCAACTCTTGCCTTTGGTAGAATACCTAGTCCAGGTTCCCAAGGCTCGGTTCACTGCTTATGTTTCCCCTCTTTCCTCCCTTCTTAGACTCTTTCTGATAGTCCTTGACAAGGATGGTGGATTTTATGAAATTAACCAGTCACAGAATTGAGAGCTTGATGGTACCTTTGGGGTAATCTAGTTGGTGATTTTCAGACGTTTGTTAGCAATGGAACCCTGTCTTCACATCAGTTCTCCCATAGAGGGCCAGTGGATAAAGAAGAAGTGGAGCTGCTCTGGTTGAACCTGGGGGTGTGGGTCTTGGTGATGCCTGTTCCCTGTCACATGCCCACCATAGCAGCCCCCAAGGTACCAGGCGGAACCAATATGTGGGTTCCATGGCGCAAGGTTTGTAAGCCATTGATCTCATCGAACCTCCTCTTTATAGATAAGGAAACTAGGGCCCAGAAAACAACAAAGCTCAGGGAGTTTTTAGCTTTTCTTCCCTCATGGGTTTGTGCTTTTCTTTAAATGGAGGGTGGGTTTCTGCTAAGGGTTTGCCAAGGGCTAAGGTAGCAAGTAGAAATCAGAAGCGCTTTGTCTTAGTTTTCTCTGCCTGTTTATATACCCATCTAGGAAACGCAGCCTGAGCAGGGACTTCTGCCTTCTTCCTCCTTTCTCCGTGGCCCATCCCCTCTCTCAGCACCTGGGCTGGCTGATCTGGACCTAGACCAAGAGATGCAGGCTAGAAGTGAGGGCTCCTTTAAGAAAGGGAAGAGCCCACGTATGCTGGCTGACATCCCTAGGTCTCTCACGGGCTCCCTGCCCAGCAAGCTACAGCCACTCTTCAAGGGCCAAGCTTCCCGAACCCACCAGATCTTTGCCGACGTGGAGAAAATCTTAGGCAGGGCCCCAGCCCACTGCAGGACAGAATTAGGTGATCAGCAGGGTCTGGAGAAGCCCCAGCAGGCGACAGAGAAAATCTACCTGGGGTTTTCAGACCCTGAAATAGAAGAGCTGGAAATGAGGACCAGACAGCAGAAACCTGGCGCTTTGGGCCCTGACCACAGCAGCCCCTTCCGGAACGGGCAGGATGCGTTAGAGAGCAGGAGCCAGGCCTTGGTCCACTTGAAGTTTTTGGAAGCCCTCAAGGGCCTGCAGCTGAAAGGGGAGCAGCACAGCCATAACATGGCCAAGCGGAGCTCCACTGGCCCCGGGGGGGACAAGGGCCAGAGCCCCATTCCCTCACCATCCCCTGAGGAGGATCCCTCCCTGTCCCTTTGTTCTTCTGACCCCATGCTGCCTGCCAGGAAGAGCAAGCCGTTTTTGTTAGTCAGCAGCCCAGCTGAAGACCAGAGCTGGCAGGGCGTTTCTGGGGAAGAGGGCAGCATGGGCAGGGGCAGGAGGAGGAGAGAGCCCCCGGGATTGTGCATGGGACAGGTCTCCAAGCTTGTCCACAAGGACGCCCCTTGGGGCAGCAAGAAAATAGAGCCCGAAGACCCTGAGGCTCCAGGGGCCTCAGCCATAGGTCCACCTCAGGGGCTCTTGCTAATACCCCCCGATACCCTGGTCTCAGAACCAGCCCAGAGCGCCCCTGCAGTCACCTCGCAGGCCCCTCGAGGGTCTCCTGCCAGTGAGAAGACACCACCCCCAGGCTCTCTGGAGCCCCCTGCAGAGGACAGGAGGCTGGGCAGGTTTGGGCCTGACTTGGAGAGCAGCAGCAGCAGCCTGGCCTCTCACCTGGGCTCTGAGGTCCTGGGGGAGGTGACCAACTTCCCTTGGGACCTGCAGAGCTCACGGGAATCTGAGCAGGGTGTGGGTCAGTCAGGCCCCGGACCCAGGGAGCAGCACCCCAGCCCCTTCCTGGCGCCCCAGTTGTCCCACATGCAAAGCTCTGCTGAGGAGCAGTCAGAGAGTGAAGACTACTCTGAGGACCAGAGGTTCTACCAGCACATCCTGCAGATGTTCAAGCTCTCCAGGCGGCTGGAGGGCCCGGGGCCGCCCGAGAGCGCGCGGGACAGGCCGTGCAGAGACCTTGCCAGCGTGGTCTGCCGCCTGGCAGCCGAGTCTTCCAGGATGTCTAGTGAGGGCGAGCACGAGGCCATCAGAGCCATGGGCTCCAGGTTTCTGTCTTGGGGGCCAGAGACGCGGGAGCATCCTCAGAAGGTGGCTGGCGCCCCGGCTGGGCAGGAGGCCTCTCAGCAAGCTCGTTTCCAGCCAAGCAGCAGCCCCCTCAGGCAGGGGCTGGTCAAGCTGAGTTCCAGCAGCGGGCTTGCTACAGAGCCAGGCAAGATGCAGCTTCTCGACCAGGTAGGCTTCTTAGAGAGCACGGCCTTCAGGCTCAGTGAACTTGGCAGGGAGGGAGTAGGTTGAGCTGACACCCTAACACAGCCAGCAGGTCTGCTTTCCTGTTATCTGTCCTCCCTTGGTAACTATTGATCCCTTAACCACCCAGGATGGCCATCTTGTGGGATGACATGCGGTTCCTGTTTCTTCTGCCCCATCACCTGCAAGATAGGGGCTGAGGGTATCTAGACTTCCCTTCCCTTGACCTAACTGTACTTCGTGGGTGGTTCACATGCTCTGACGATGCTCAGTTTTGAGGGTGAGCAAGGTGGCACTTATCCTGGCACTCATGCAAGATACAGGTACTGTCCCAGGATTTGGGAAGCCTTCCCCATCAGCTGGTTATGGGGAGGTCCTCCCAAGTAGACACCCTACCCCAGCCTCTGAACCTAGTCCCTTCTGGGAATCACACAGAACTAGAGTTAACACTGTCATGAGAGGCTGAAGCCCAGGCTCTCTCTGCCGTTCAGTGAGCTGCTTCTGCTCCTTGCTTCCCAGGGTTTCCAGAACCATGTGAATAATCTGTGTCAGGCTTGTGCTGACCACGTGAGCCTTCACTTCCTCCCCTGTTGGGAGCTACCAAAGGGTTGGGCTTGCCCTGTCATTCCGACTCCTTTTCCCTTTAAAGAGTCACCACTAGCTTCATTCAGAAGTCAAATTGGATCCCAGACCACCGCGGGGGTCGATCTGCATTTCCCCGGCTATTCTTCGGCTGTTGCCCAGCGTGGCTTTACCCAGTTGTTACCTCGGTTCCTAATTGCTGGCGTGCCCTGGTTCTCCGTTAGCTCTAATAACTACTGTAGCACTATAAATATCACATAAGCTGCAGATTATCCTGAAAGTTTTAATTAGCCCAATGGCAGCAAGTTTATCCTCTTTGAAGGACAACGCCACGCACAGCCCATAGTGCGTGATCAGCTAGGAGCCAGGGATGTATAATTTCCCTACTAACCGCTGATTTGGTAAAGGCCTGGGAGAACAAAGCCCTCAGCGGGTCTGTCTCCCTCCCTCAGGCCCCCAGCACGTTAGCAAATTAGCCATGTTAGGAGTCTGTAATTTTCCATAAATATAGTATGGGAAGAATTTTACTCGCTGATCCACTGGGCTGGCTGCGGGGAGCAGGCTGGGTTTGCTAACAGTTCACCTCAGAGCGGATTTCCTGGGCTCCTTTTCTGCCATAGCCAGGAGGCAGTGTACAATACTGGCTTAGAGATTGCCCTGCGTTCCGGTCCCACGTCTGCCCTCATTGCAGGCCCTATGATTTGGGGCAGGGGTCTTGACCTCACCAGTCTCCGTTTGCTCTTGTGGGGACTGCGGCCTCAGATGGTTTTGACAGTGAAATGAGACAGGTGCTTACCCCGGTGCCCAGGGCTCAGGCAAATTTGGCCAATTTTTTTATTATCAGCTCCTTTTCTGCCTAACGAAGATACCCTGCAACAGGCCAGGTGACTGGGAACCTACAAAGGTTTGGGAGGGGGTCTCGTGTCACCTTTCAGATAAGCATCTGATGCCCTTCCCATGCAGAAATGGGTCGTGTTCAGAGCCCACCCGATGGTCTGGCCCCAGGCCCAGCTGCGGGTGAGAAGATGGGCCACCTGAACTCTGCCTGACCTCCTCAGGTTCCCCTTTCTCTCTTCAGTCCCCATGGGATTAGAGAGGAATGGAATTTTTGTGTTGTTTTATATACAATTTAAATTTGAGGATATTTAAAGAGCTGTTTGTAAACTGTCCCCAGAATGCTATCCTGCCTCGGCTTCTAAGCCCAGACTCTTGTGATGTGAATCCCTGTAATGATAGCAATTCCACAGCGCTGGTGTAGCCCTGGGCCACGCACACATGCTCCTTGCTGTCAGTATCTCATTTGAATTTCTCAACAAACCTTCTTAAGTAGCAAGACACACATCATCTCTGTCTTGCAGATGAGTAAACTGAGAGTCCAAGAGTCCGTGAGCGACCCAACGTCTCACAAATTCTGCCACCCAGTTGGTTTCTCTCCCCAGTCCTCACTGGTACAAAGCCTTCGTTTGGCCATCCCAAGAACAGGGCAAAGGAGGGGCCTGCACAGTCCTCTGGCGAGGCTCCCTCCAGCCCCTTTCCTCATCAGTGGAGAGCGGAAAGAGAGTTCTTTTGTTGCTCATGTGTATTTTTCATAGTTAATATTTATTTTAATTGAAGTAATACATGCCCATGTTATTAAACAATGTCAAGTCGAGCCAAAAGGCATAGAACGAAATATAGCATTTCTCGGGTGTGGGTACCCCTCCCCAGAGGCAACGGCTCTCTTCCAGTGTTTGCTTCCATATTTGTAAATAATATGCTTAGACTGCTTTTTCTTGATTCATCCGTTTTCAAGTTTATCTATTGAGACTTCTCATGCTGGTAGATGAGGCTTTTGTCTCTTCTCCCCGCAACCCCCCAACTTCCTCTGTGGCTTCGGAGGGAGGGCAGAGTCCTCTGCAGCATCTGCCAGATGTGAAAGAACCATTTGCTGAGAGACAGGCCCAGAGTTGCGAGGATCAGGAAGCCAGCCCGTGATTCTCACACGGCTGGCACGATGGTAATTTCTGGATGTTGTGTTTCATTAGCAGCCTCCGAACGGAGGCGGTTTAAATTTGAGCGGGCAGGATTTAGATGTTTTATTTTTATATCCGTCTCCACACTCTCAGAGCCCTGTGGTTTCTTGGGTTTGTAACAGGATGTTTTCTGTTGCCCAGGCCCTGGGCTCCCCGTTAGCCCCCGTCCACATTCCTCTCGGGGGTCTGGCCCCGTTAAGGGGCCTGGTGGATGCCCCGCCCTCTGCTCTTCGTGGATCTCAAAGCGTGAGCCTGGGGAGCTCGGTGGAGTCTGGTCAGCATGGAGAACTCTCAATGGTAAATGCTGCTTCTTGTGTTCAGTGTAGTTACCGTGGGGCCTCCATGTTCCATGCTAGGAACCGTGACCCATGGATGAGAAATAGAGGGCATGGGCTGAGTCCTTAATGCTCATAATCTAGTAGGGAAGGTGAGTCACACCTGGAGGATGCTGAACAGGGGCTCTGGGTGGTGGAGGATGGACCCAGGGCATAGGGACTGCAGTGGTGATTTCCCAGTCCCTGCAGCCAGGGCAGCAGGAGTTGGACAGGGAGGGATCCGTGAGCTGGAGCTGCTGGGGTCAGCTTCCTGGAGGTGGTGGGCTTGCTCTGGGAGCCATCTGAACAGAAAGAGGAGAAGGCAATCTGAGGGTCTTCCCCGTAAGTGCCTTGGTTTTCCTTCTCTATTTTGGAGCCTTCACAGGGTCTCAAGACTTCTGCGTATACAAAGGGTCTCCTGGGCTCCATCCATGAGGACAAGAATGCTCTCAGCCTCTTGGCTTTAGGAGAGGAGACCAATGAGGAGGATGAGGCGGAGAGTGACAACCAGGTAAGAATGAATCCTTTTCTTGGCCTGGAAACCCTCTGTACTATGAAAAAAAAAATGTTTTTTTAAAAATTGTGGTCAAATATGTCTACCATTTTAACCACTTTTAAGCGTACAGTTCAGTGACCTTAACTACCTTCACAGTGTTGTACAGTCATCACCTCTATCCATCTCCAGAACTTGTTCATAATCCCAGAGAAACTCTGTACCCTTTAAACAAAGCTCTGGATCCTCCCCTCTCCCCAGTCCCTGATCTACTCTCTGTCTCTGTGAATTTGCCTGTTCTAGACATTTCATATAAGTGGAATCATACTGTCTTTGTCCTTTTATGTCGCATAATGTTTTCAAGGTTCATCCATGTTGTAGCACATGTGGCTGGATAATATTCCATTGTATGAATATACCATATTTTGTCTAGCCGTTCATCTGCTGGTGGATAGTTGAGCTGAGCTGTCTTTACCTTTGGGCTAACCTCTGTGCTACTTTGAAAATAAGTGAAAATGATTTTCCAGCCCACAGCTTCATTCCTTGCTCAGTCTGTATACCTGCTGGGTCTGACCCAGAAAGTATAACCAGTGAGGAGCTTCTCGGCCCCCTGGGCTGACCAGTTTCCTTGCCATCGTTTTCATTTTCAGAGTGTCCGAAGCTCAAGTGAGCTTCTTAAGAACCTGCACCTGGACATCGGGGCACTGGGGGGTGACTTCGAGTATGAGGTAAGAGCCTGGAGCCCCTGCAGGCAGATGCCTCAGCCTGGCAGGTCCCTCCTTCCTTTCTTTTTTTTTAAAAAATATTTATTTATCTATTTGGCTGTGCCGGGTCTTAGTTGCGGCATGCGGGATCTTTAGTTGCAGCATGCAGGATCTAGTTCCCTGACCCAGGGATCGAACCCAGGCCGCCTGCATTGGGAGCGCATAGTCTCAACCACTGGACCGCCAGGGAAGTCCCCCTCCTCCCTTCTTAAGCCTTCCTCCTTGTGGGAGACTTGTTTGGAAAGAGTACCATTTTGTCCCAGTCCTGTCCAGATGGGATTTCTGGGGTTTGGGGAAGCACAAGCGTGGAAAGGAATTCATCCATTCACTCATTTCTCAGATAACCACCGTTTATTGAATGTTTCTACATGAGGCACTTTGCTTGGTGCTATTGGCCACGCACACCTCAGTTAGCTGTGATCCCTGCCCTCAAAGAGTTTACAGTCTCATAAAAGAGAGACTTACGTAGCTGGGACTCGGAGTGGAATGCAGTGCCGCCGTCAGGAAGGTAAAACACAGTGTTGTGGCTGGGGAGAAGTCGGGGTCTCCTGTCTGTTTGAAAGGCCTTATTGAGAATCTGACATCTGAGGTGAGCCAGGAAGGACGGTGGGTGGGACCGGACGAGCAGAGGCGAGTGGTGAGGGAGAGCTCCAGCTGCAGGGCACTGCACAGGAGCGGAGCACGAGGGTGTCTCCTTTGCCTGGAGCCCAGGGCACGTGTGGGAGAGGAGTGGGAAATGGGGCTGTGGAGGTAGGTTGGGCTGGGTCGTGGAGGACCTGAGTGCCAGCTGAGAAGTTGGGACTGGGTTACACCGGCATTGGGAGCCATGGGAGGTTTTGCACAGAGGTGTAATGCTGTCCAGATGCTTAGCATTTGTCGAATGCTGGCCGTGTGGCGGCAGCTGTGCTGTGGTCGATCCCAGCACTGGTAAGGAGTGGCCTGGGCAGGCCTCTGGGAGTGTGCAGTTGGAGAGAAAGGATGCTGGGCACTCTGTGCTTAGTGAGCGCTTAGTACACGTTGAATAAATGAATATTTAGGAAACTGTAAAGCAGGGCCAGGTGTATAAAGAGCTCGAGCACAGGTACACTCTTTGGAGGAGTTCTGAGGGCAGAGAAATTACCTGCCCAGAGATGAGGGAGAACTTGGATGAGACAACATTTGACCCCGGTCTTGAAGAGTAGGGAGGTTTTAGATGTGGGGGTGGAAGGGATGTTTTAGGCAGGTGGACAGCTTGAGCAAAGGCATGAGGCCTGGGAAATGCAGAATATGGATGGAACTAGCTTCCGGAAAATCCCCCCAGCAGTCCTGCTGCTTCTCATCTCTTTCCCTGGTCTGTCCTCCACTCCCACCAGAATGTCCCTTCCTTCCTTCCTTCCTTCCTTCCTTCCTTCCTTCCTTCCTTCCTTCCTTCCTTCCTTCCTTCCTTCCCTCCTTCCCTCCCTCCCACCCTCCCTCCCTTCCACCCTTCCTCCCACCCTCCCTCCCTTCCTTCCTTCCTTCCATCCATTTTTGGCTGGGTTGGGCCTTTGTTGCTACGCGGGCTTTTCTTTAGTTGCGGTGAGCGGGGGAGCGGGGGCTACTCTTCATTGCAGTGCGCAGGCTTCTCATTATGGTGGCTTCTCTTGTTGCAGAGCACGGGCTCTAGGCGCGCGGGCTTCAGTAGTTGCGGCACGCGGGCTCAGTAGTTGTGGCTCGCAGGCTCTAGAGTGCAGGCTCAGCAGTTGTGGCGTATGGGCTTAGTTGCTCCGTGGCATCTGGGATCTTCCCAGACCAGGGCTCGAACCTGTGTCCCCTGCATTGGCAGTAGGATTCTTAACCACTGCTCCACCAGGGAAGTCCCAGAATGTTCTTTCAAACAAACAAACAAAGCCTGAAACTCATCATGTCGTCGAAATAACTAAAAAACCCCAGTACATTCTTCTACTTGAAAAAGAACATTCCCTACTATTTGTTCTCGGTCTATTGTCTAATTTATTAATTTTTAACAATTAAGCTTTCTCTAAATATGTCCAAAGTATTCACACAACCAATAAATCATGAAGTCAACAACTCAGATTTCCCCAGACATTGAAATATTGATTGCAAGGTCAGTTAAACTTTTCCCAAAATAGAAAATTCTTTTAAAGACTTTGAACTGAAAGAGATCACTCACATTTTTTAGAATGACCACAAAACTGACCAGTGAAACAGCAGTGCCCGTCTCATGGATTTAAATGTTTCCTTATTATCTTTTATTTATGTCCTTATCATCCCTTTCCACGGTCTTATTGTTTCTGACTCTTACTCCTTGGTCTTCAGCTCACCTTGAGAGCTGGGGGAAGGTCCCAGGTGGGCTGAGGTTGAGAATGCTGGCTGACACCTAGGTGTAGGTGGGCTCTCGCAGCTGATGCAGCTCTAGCCATTGGGCAGGCCCCATGCTATACTTAGGCTCACTCTGTAGCCTCAGAAACGGTCCCCGTTTCTGGCTCTGCGCAGTCAGATATGTTTTGATTGTGACTTTGATGCTTTCTGCCACGTGACACGTTTTCTGAGTGTCATCAACCTGATCTGGCTCTACTCTGACACTTCCTTCTGAATGGGGCCTGGTCTGTTTGCATTAAATCCAAAGCCTTCTGTTTCTGGTTCCCTGAAATGATAACTTTATTTCTTCCCATCTGCCATTAAGACCTTGTGATGCTGATGGAATCAGTGGCTCAGGTTTTGAGCCTGGAAGGATGTCCATGAGTAGGAATGAGGTGTCAGGAGGACTCGCTGGCTTTTGGAGAAAGAGGGTAGTCTCCACAAGACTGAGCAAAGTGAGAGTCGGGATTGTGCCCTGTTCACGTGTGTGTGTCTGGAACCTGGCCTGCTCCCTGGAACTTAGGAAGTGCGTGGGTATGTTTTGCTGAGCGATTGAGTGGATGAATAGGTGAGTGAATGAATGAGCCACGCTGGGACCAGAGGGTATCCTGGCAGGTCATGTTGTGCTGTTTTCTTCTCTGGGCTTTCCCAGGTCCTGGGTAGAGTGGACACTGGATCCCCGCTTCAGCTGGTGGATTGAAGATCCCGATGTGGATCAATCAGAATGTGCTTTGACTTGGGCTAGTTAATTTTTCCTCTATAATAGTTTACAAACGTCCACAAAAAAAGGGATTTTCTTCTTTGACATGTCCTGGATTCTCAAAAGCTTCCCTTCTGATCTTTATATGCTTCTCTGGGGGAGTAGAGCTTTTAAATATATTTTTTATAACCTCTTTAATATAAATAGGCAACCCAGTGTGATGGGGAGAAATGTCTGGAGTGGGAGGTGTTAAGTACACTCCCCCCACCCCACCCCCATCTCTAGCATCCCAGCAGATTTAGTTCTTTTTGCACATGGAGTGTTGAATTCCTGCGTTCTAACCTCAGGCAGGAACTGGGGCTTTTCCTGGTGGGGAAGGTTAGTGGTGGGGATGAACGGGGGTTTTAGGACAGACAAAGCTGCCTCTGCTTACCATGCCCTTTAAAATGGCTTTTGTCCCAGTTTATAGACCTTGGGTCCTCTGAGCTGCCCACCTCTTCCTGCTTTTGGGCAGCCCTGGCAGCCTGAGATGGAGCGCTTATTCTGTGGTTTGTTTTACCCTGTTTCGCTGTCAACAGTCACTTTGCTCATGATTCCATGAGAGGGCAGTAGGATGGCAAGAATGCCTCTCACTCTCTCTCTCTCTCTCTCTTTCTCTTTCTCTTTCTCTCTCTCTCTCTCTCTCTCTGTGTCTCCTTCCCCCTCCTCTCCTGCCTTCAACTTAAACCCATTTCTAGTCTATTACAGAATCAAAAAGGATACATTCCTGGAACAGCCACTGAGAATGGATGGGAGTGCAAGAGGGGAGGCTGAAGGGTAGGTGAGCAGGCAGCAGATGGCCTTGTAGTGCTGGTGAAAAGACCATCAGCAGATCAAAGGGGAGGGAGGGAGCTGGGCTTAGAAATAACAGGATGATGTCAGTGTGATTGGAAAGCGCTAACAGCACTGGGGAGCAGTGCAAAGAACTGAGACCGACTGGGTGGGAAGGAGACATGGAAAATAAACCGACTGGTGTTTGGCTTGGTGGGGGGGGGTCTCCCCAGAACGGGATCAATGCAAGGACATGGTGTTCTGCTCCCCTGTCTCCCACTCTCACCCTCCTGAGCCGTGTGGAATGTAGGGCCCCTGCCTTTGTGCTCTGGACCGCAGCAGGGGGATTGCAGCATGGGAGACCTCATAGCTTTGGGGGGATATGTTAAATATTCATGAAATGGTTCGTACAGGCACTCTCCTGCACCCCCCTCTTCATGCAGATGGCAAAGTCTTTTTGGAAAAAGACAGCAGGAATTTGCCTTATACTCAAGGACCTGGGGCTGTGACAGGAGGAGACAGAAGGAGTGTGAGCACGGTTGAGCTGAGAGCAGAGCTGTGCTGTGGGTACATCCCCCGGGTGCCCTGCAGAACACTGGCGCAGGAGGCTGTGCGCAGGGGCCTGGGTGTGCGTCCTGGGCCGGGCCTCAGGCCATGGGCCCTGCGATGGAATGAGGAGCAGGGGCTGAGTTAAAGGAGGGGAGCGTGGAGTCAGCTGGGTTTTCCAGACACTCAGCTCTCGTTCATCCATTTGTGGATAATCCACAACAAATGCCTAGTCTCCCCCTGCTGTCCTTCCCCTCAAGACGTCCCCCTGGCTGTCCTGTCATTGCAGTTAGTTGATGTGGGCGCAGGGAATGCAAGTTCACTTATTTTCATGTTAGCCATGTTTTAATATTTTACTGTTTACGTAGACAGAATAGGATAAGCTCCATGGAACATTTTTCTTTTGAAGAATTTTAGCTTGAGAGTGGCATAGCCTGGGCCTGACATTCTGTAGTCTGGCCATATTCTCTCATGTGTAAGAATGGGAATCTCCCCCTGGATCTGGTGTCTTCTGATTTTTGATAGGTTACTTGTTTTTCCGTCATCTTGAATATTAATAGTTAATATTTGTTTAGCTATTTTCCATTTCATAAGCACTATAACAAATAATAGTCTAATCCCTGTATAATTTTGTAAAATAGATATCACATCTCCATTTTACAGAGTAGGAACTCCTGTATCTGCATTGACCCACTTAATCTTTTTTTTTTTTTTTTTTTGCGGTACACGGGCCTCTCACTGTTGTGGCCTCTCCCGTTGCGGAGCACAGGCTCTGGACGCGCAGGCTCAGCGGCCATGGCTCACGGGCCCAGCCGCTCCGCGGCATGTGGGATCTTCCCGGACCTGTGCACGAACCTGTGTCCCCTGCATTGGCAGGCGGACTCTCAACCACTGCGCCACCAGGGAAGCCCCACTTAATCACTTTTAATATTCAGTCAACAAGCATTGACTGAGCACCTATTATGTGCCAGAAACTAGACACTGAGGATAACAGGGAGCTGATTTGGTGAGGGCAACAGGCAAGGAAGTCAGCAGTTATAAGACAGTAGTTGTTGTGAAAGAGGATGAGGAAGGCTGATCTCAGGAAGGCTTCCTGGAAGAGGCGATGCCGTGAGGACCAGTGGGAGCTTGTCAGGGTAGATTGTGTGTGTATTAAGAACGCACACGGCAGAGCAGGGAGATGGTGTAATGTTTGTTCACAGGCAGGATGTGTGTGTGTCTGGAGATGACCTCAGAGGAGCAAGCAGGGCTGGGCTGGGTGAGAAGGGCTGTGGGCCGTGTGAGGAGATGTGAACTGGTGGTCCGACACCTCTTCTGCCCCCTAATCCAAGGCCTGTTGCCTTTCTTTCATCATGAGATGAGCGCGGCCGGGGTGGCTTGGCTGTGCTTGCTGAGTCAGACCCCTCACTCCCCCCGAGACACTCCCACGTCCTTCTTGGCATCCAGGAGCCCCACAGACCGGTCACTGCGTGCTGGCTGCTGCCGAGAGCCGGCTGCTGCGGGGACACCTGGCCTCGCCCTGAAGATGCCTCTCAAAGAGGAGGAGCTCATCTTGGCCCCTCTGCACCCAGTGACCATGAAGACTTCCTCCACACTATAAGTTAGGGTGTCAGGAGGGTGGGCAGCCGTGGAGGGCACCCTGCCTTCGTGCTGCCAGGGCATGAGGGAAGCCCACCACTTCTCTGTTCAGCCTCTGCTCTTCTCCCTGGGACAGGCGTGGCACTGACCACAGCGTCACCACCATGTCCAGTGCCCTTTGCTTTGGGCAGTAAAGGCTCATAGCCAGGGCCACCTGGGATGTTTCACTTTTCTCCATTCTCAGCTGAATTCCTTGAGGGCAGGACCCATCTTCCTATTCAGGTCGCCACGGTGGGGTTTGGCTCATAGAAGGTGCTCGGTGACTGAACTTGTGGGTCTCATCGTAATACACGAGTTAGCGCTTATGGAGCGCTTACGGTGCGCCAGGCGCGGTTCTCTGTTCTTTACTCACTCGATGAGTGTTAACTTATTTAATCTTTCCAACAATCTTATGAGATAGGCCCATACCCCCGTATTTTAGAGGAAGAAACTGAGGCCCAGAGAAGTTACAACAGTTTGCCTAGGGTCCCTGTAAGCACGGAGCCAAGATTTGAACCTGGATGTTCTGTCTCCGAAGTCGGGCTCTGAAGTAGTCTGCTTTCCTGCCTCTCTTAACCATCCTTGGAAAGTCTGGGTGGGCTTGTCAGTCGGCTGCCAGACCTGCAGTGGATGGTCATGGCCTTGGGCTCTGTGGGTCCTTTAACAAGCAGACAGCATGGTGAACGGCGTGTTTGGGGCTTTTCCTTGGCCCTCTGGACTCTAGTCATCACGCTGCTTGTTGGAGTGTCCAGGGTCAGGCTTCAGGAAGTCTCAAAAATCCCTGCCAAGAAGTTGTCCACACTGGCAGCCCAGGTTTAGGACAGGTGTTTTCTGGGAAGAAGGCTTCTCTGCTTGAGCCTAGGAGAGATCGCAGGCTGTATTTCCAAGGGAGGAGTACCTTTTTCTCTTGTGGGAGCTCTAAAGGTTTCTCCTGGTCTTTACCATGGGGTTCGTGAATGAGGAGCAGGGTGGGCAGCTGTAGAGGTGGCCTGCTCCCATCTCCTTTCAAGAGACCCTGCAGAGGGGACCTTGGGGGATTAACGGCCTGCAGCTGCTGAACCTTTGATCCACCCCGGCTCGTGCCAAGGTTGGGCTTGTTGATGGAATTGATGGGGTGTAACGGGCCCCGGAGCAGGGCCATTTCTGCATGATGGCTGCGGGACTGTCCATGGGGCTGAGACCCTTTCAGAACTGTGCTGTGGCCTGAGGCTCTCCTACTCAAGCCCCCTCCTTCCCTCTCCTATGTCACAGGTCTCAGACCTGTGTTCCCAAGCCTCTCCCCACCTCCCGTATCCTCATGGGCATTTCCCCCAATCGGTCTTCTACACACCTCACCCCATCTGGCACCTGCTGCCCAGAGGACTCACTTGATGGTCCTCCGACAGAGGAGCCTGGCTCCAGGGCTGCTTATGCAGCCCCCTGAGGCTATAGGGAGAGAGCTACCCTCATTGCTGTGCAAGAAGGGTACCCTCCTGATATTTCCTCCCTGCTGCCTTTTAAAAATGAAAACTCTAGACTTTGGTACTTTTCTCTCATGCGGTTCTCTGTCATCATCATCGTAAACAAATATTGACTTCTGAGCCTGCCATCTAATGGGGCTGGAATGAGCCAGATTTATTACTCGAGAAAGTGATGGGTGGTGACAGAGTTGTATAGTGCAGTGCACTGGATTCCAAGCTCCTCAGTGGACGGGGGTCAGGTTGGGTGTGTTCAGATCACCATAGAATTTCAGAGTCAGTGGAGCTGGGCTGGAGCCAGGAATCTGTGTTTTTAAATGCTTTTGAGGTGTGGGATAGCCATTGGTTTCAGAACTGTAGGCATCAAGGAATGGCAGCTCCGTCTTGTAGCAAGTCTCTAAACCCTTTTATTAATTCCTGACGTCTTCCTTTCTGACACGGTCTTCTGCTCCCTAGGAATCTCCAAGAACAAGCCCGCCAGAGGAGAAGAAGGACACTTCTCTGGATTCCGATGCTGCCAGCCCCCCTACTCCTGGCAAGCTCTTCGGCCGAGGTGCAGATAGCAGCCTGAGCAGTGCCGATGGCCAAGGGCAACAGGGAAGAGGGGCAAGTTGGCTCCCAGAAAAAGAAAAGAATGAGAAGAATGATCCCGGGATGTCCAGGAGTGTGGCGGACCCTGGGGGCGACCCTGCGGGCGATCAGCCTGCCAAAGCCAATAAAAAAGAGGCACCAGAGGACCCGGTGGATGCAAGAGAGGAGGGTTCCCTGCAGGAAGAGGCAGCAAAGGAGCCAAAGAAGGAGGCTTCCGTCCCGAAAGAGAGCAGATCAGAGGCGAGCGAAGTAAGTCACTTTGTCCCGTGGGCAGTTGCTGGCTGCAGCCCTCTGCTGCTCTCTCGTGCCCTGTGCACGTTGCTCTCCCTTCATCTTTATTACTGAGTCAGGAGCTGCATTTGCAGGCCCGGCAATGGGTCGGCAACATCAGCCAGAACGCTTAATTGTGACAAATATGCCCAGACCCAGCAGGCAGTAAAATCCTGAATGAAACTCCAAACCTGCTGGCACTAGAAATTCAGAGCAGAAAATTGCTTTTCCGTTGGCACCTCCTGGGGTATTCCTATTCCTCTGGTCTCCCACTTACTTCCTCTTGCCATTTCCTGCCTCCCCCTCCTACTTCTTGACATCAGTTTGGGGTGAGTCATGGTTGCAGCCTGTGTTCCTGCAGAGAGAGGAGCCTGTTGAGGGGAGTGGGGGGGGACGTTTGGGAGTGTCCTGCCCCGGCATTTGTCAGTTAGGGTACAAGAAGACTCTTCATTGGTCTCTCTGGCTCCTTTGAACAACCCAAGACACGGGAGTCTTGCTTGGTAAGATCAGGCCAGTGACTCGGATGGATAGAAGTAGGACTCAGCTGTGAGAGCATTTGGCATCTTTATTTTCCAGCCCTTAGTCCCGCCCTTCCTCCAGGTGGATGGTGAGGGAATTCATTTAAAGAGCTTTTAGCTACTTCCTGGAAAAGATACTCTCATCTTGTTTTCCTAGGATCCCATCAAACTTCCCCACTGCCGACTTTCTAACCATCTCCCACTCTGCTTCACTTGGCCCTCCTTCCAAGTGTAAAGAGTGTTGCCCTGCCCAGCCTGAGGGGGCCGGGGGCAGGTGTCCAGAGAGAATGGGAGGGTCCACAGGCCTCTTCCAGGTTTTCCAGAAGAGGTGGATTTCGGTTTGGGTTCAGCCCTGTACTGGCACCGTGGATAGTGATCACGACCCTCTGTCCTCTGCTCTGGTGACTTCTCTGTGGGTCTGTCTCCCCAGGAGTCAGAGATCAGTGAACACATGAAGGAACTACAGCCCTCAGACTCCACTGCTTCTGACCCCAAGTCCTTTCTTGGCCTGGTGAGTCTGAGATGGGGGGCAGCAGAGTGGTGGTGAAGAGCATGGGTTTGCGAGGTCCTGTGTTTGAGTGATTCGCTGAGCATCTCACAGCTTGTAAGTGGGGAAGTTAGGACTCAAACTTGGGTCTTGTCTAACTCCATTTTCTCAGCCCTGCGTACTAAGGATAACACTACCTACTTTATAGGTTTGTTGTGAGAAGAAAGTGGTGTAAGGAGTATAAAACATTAGCATATAAACATTAAACAAACATAGCTGTTATTACTATTACTGCTGTGTGAATTGCCTGTGAGATCATATGAGGTCATTGCCTCTGGGCTCTAGCAGGAGCATTACATGAACCTAGGAGGTTAGAGGCTGTGTGTTTATGGAATCACTGAGCCATGGTGAGGACCAGTCCTCAGGCTTTCAGGCTCTGACCAGGAAGGATGCTGTGGTGTGGTATCATTTCCCAAGTTACGACTTTGTCCTGGAATGCCAGCATCCATGGTTTCTTTGTCCCAGCGCTTCCACGCAGCCTGCTGTAGCCTGGCGTCACTTGCCAGGTTTGTTATCTATGGGGAGGAGTTCGGGGTGCTTTCTGGCAGAGCACTTTTTCCAGAAACCACACTCCATCTGTTCGGAGGAGGCAGATCAAAGAGAAGGGATTAGTGGGAGAGGGTCAGGGATGAACAGTAATGATACGAGGGGGTGCAGAGGAATTAGGAGGCTGTGCGCTCAAGCCCCTCACTGAGCCATGGGCTTAGGAACCAGATGGCAGCTGCATTGAGTGGAGTAGAACTCACGCTGAAAGGGAAATGTCATCAGCAAAGAAAACCCACAAGCTAGGAACGGGAGGCAAAGTCCTTGTTGGCACAAACTGTCATGAAGAATCACTGTGTCACAGAACTCTCTGAAGCAAGGGCCCCGGCCCTGCTGAAGGAGCCACTGTGTGGAGGAACGGGCTGCCCATCGGCATTTTTCTTCTCTACGGGAGTGGGTGGAGGAAGCCACAGACAGCAGGACCAGACCTTGGCTGGGCGCGCCTGCATCTATCAGGGCTGATGACAGAACTGTCCCTGTTAGCGTGCTGTCAGGTAGCCGTCCGTCACCTAGCCCAGTGACGATCTTGGGCTCGGAGGGGGTGGGCTCGTGGCTCTGCGGCAGCCAAAGGGCTGCGGGGAGCTGGCACCTGTGTGGGCACTTGCTGCCCGTCCCAAAGAGAAGCTGGTGGAGGAAGTGGCCCTAATTCATCCCCATTGTCCAGAGGGACACCTGTATGGGAAGGGGAAGGAACCAGCTGGGTGGAGCCTGGCAGGCCCTGGTGTCCAAGCTGCCCACAGGGCTTCTGGGCACTTTGGCCTCCTGGTTGGGCACCAGGAGGGAGAGACAGCTGGAAAGTGACATGCTTTGCAGCACATGTCACACAAAGAGCTTGGGCTTTGGAGTCGGCCCAGGGCACTTCTGACCCCCAGCCCTATTGCTTACCAGATGCGTGACCTTGGATAAATTACTTGGGCTCTCAAACTGCTTCCTCTGTGAGATAAGAATAAGAGGATCAGTCTCATAGGGTTACTTTTTTCCCTGTAATTTGATTATGAAAAATTTCAAACATACTGAAAAATTAAAAGACTTTTACAGCGAATAGCCTCATTCTCACCACCTGGAGTCTACAGTGAACAGTTTACCGTACCTGCTTTGCCACATACCTTTCCATCCAGTCGCAGTGTTAATTTTGAAGGTGAAATTAATGAGTAGCTGTCGGGGTGCTTGGTACAGTGCCTGGCATGTAGTAGGCGTCTTTCTGGAAGGTGGGGGTGGAGGAGAGGCCCTGTATCCCTGGTGGGCGCTGAGCGTGACAGAGGAGAGCTGACCTCCCCGTCCCTACCACCTCCAGGACTTCGGTTTCCACAGCCGGATCTCGGAGCACCTGCTGGATGTGGGCATGCTCTCCCCTGTCCTGGATGGAGCCCGCTGGGAGGTGAGTCTCTCTAGGGCTGGGCTGGAGCCTCACTTTTGAGGATAATCAAGAGCTGAGTCCTGCCCATCCCAGGGTGCATTTCTGGGAGTTCTCTCCCTTCTGATTCATTAAGGCAAGGCCCTGACGGTGCCTGTGATGGGGCTTCCGACATACATGCTCTGTTGCTGCCGTGAATTCAGTCATTCCATGTCCTCCACCGCCATATATTTATCTGTTTATCCAGTCACTTAGCAACTGAGGGCCGACCACTTGCTCCCGTGCAAAGCGCTGTGTAGTGTGTGGGTTTCAAGGCACTTCCCAACCTGGCCCATCCAACCTCTGCAGCCTCATCCTCAGCCCACCGCCCATGACCCGGCTGTGCCCACCACTCGCCGTTCCCCTGGGGCCACACCCTCCACCCCCTTCACCACTCTGCCCGCTGGGCTGCTTTTCCTTTTGTCCCGGCAAGCTCTTTCTTGGTCTTGGAGGTCCACCTCTGACGTCACCTCCTCCAAGCACGATTTATCGTTCCTTCCCTTGCTCCCCTTAGTGCTGCTGCTTTTGTTTTATGGTTCTTTGTCTCCCCTGCCAGATGTAAGCTCAGACACAGACCCTGTCCTTAAGGAGCTTGAAGCCAAGATCATTTTTGCCTCCTCTGTAGGGTTGTTGAGAGGAGAGCGATTCTGACATGTGGTCTTTGCAAGTCTGAGCGGGCATTTGGTTTGGGTGAAACAAGGTATTTAATGTGAATCAGGCCTGGGTGCCCTTAGTGAAGCGAGTCCTGAGACAGGATGGAGTTACAAGGTCGGTTGCATTTGTGCCTGACATGTTCTTCTCGGTTCTGCTGGACCTTGGTCCCCACCGTCTGCAGCACTGCGGTTTGGAGGCCTTGAAGGGCACAGACAAGGCCAGGTGGTGTTTGTCAGGAAGGCTTTGGAGCAGGTGATTTGAGAGACACCTTGCTGAGTAGGCCGGGCAAGGTGAATTTCCATTGCTCCGTCTCCAGAATCTGGCCAGCATTAGAATACTTGGGGGGCTTTAAAGAAGACAGATTTCTAGGTCCTGCCTAAGACCTCATGAGGCGAGCAGCCTCTTTTTGGGCCATGCCACTTGGTATAAAGCAGTAGCAGGGCCTGGCTTGCATTTGGTTCTCATGAGCACCCTCTGGCAGCCGCCCTGGCAGAGGGGGCCCTAAGCTGTATCTCATGACCAGCGTGGGGCAGCGCTGGGTGCTCAGGTTGGCTGACCGCATGGAGCCCTTTGCGGGATTGTGTCTGCCCCTCACTTCAGGGCACGGAGGGGCTGAGCAGGGAGGTAGAGCTGGAGGGACAAGAAGCAGCCTCTTTGTGGGACGGATAGAACCATAGGTACAGTCCCCTTTGTCTTTCCGGGGGGCACTTGTCCATTTTCCATATTCTCTGGATCTCTCCCAAGGCCAGGGCCAGCACAGAAGCTTAGAACTGAGCTAAATTAATTTTTGTTCACTTAAACATTTTTTATGCATCTTTATTGAGATCTAATTGACATAAATAAACTGGACACATATACATGGTACCATTTGATAAGTTTTACCATATGTATACACCTTTCAGGTCACCACCACGGTCAAGATAATGATTATAATGAATTACAAACATGACGAATTTTATAATAGGTTACAAAAAATGACCATAAAATTATTTCAAATAATACAGAAGGTCAAAGTCTTCTACTTCCTGCAGCCTTACTCCCTCCCGCAGGTAGGGACTGTTAGTTTCCATTAACATTTTTCATGTGCCTTTCCAGAAAATTTTCTGTACACATATAAGCATGTATTTATTTTCTATTTGTTAATCTTTTTTTTTCCCTACAGAAATTGGAACTGTGCTATTAAAAACTGCTTGGCAATATGCTCTTCAAATTCGAGAATAGACCCTTAACTGATTTCTGTGCTATTTCAGGTCTGCCCTACTCCTCTTATTGGTTGCATAGCATTCTGCTTTATGAATGCACTGTGACTTACTGGGATTTATTAAACCAAGGACTGCATCATAAACAAAAAACAAAACCCCGGAGCTAAGTTTAGGTTGGGGAAGTGGTGTTTCGAACAGTCTTAGGCCGGAGGCTTAGAACGTGCTTGTGTCTCCCCTTTCTGAAGAGTGCCGATATGCCTGATTTCTTTGTCTGGTTCCTTTGACTCCCTTTCTCGGGCAAAAATGTCTAGGGAGCAGGTAAAAACTCTGCTCAAAAGACCTCTGTCTGCGTACTTACCCAAGGTGTCCCTTAATTCTGTAGCTGGGGGCTAGTTGAGTTTCTAGCAGAAATATGGAAGGTGAAATAAGAAGGAAATAGACAGGCCTTGTCTGTAGCTTGTCCTTTCTGATTCAGGGCTCCGTCCGCCGATATTAATTACAATCACTGCACTTTGTTACCCATCTTGTATTTTAGTTTGTGAAATAGATTGGCCTGTGTGATTGTTTTTGTTTTTGTTTTTCCTTGAAAAGAGAGGGGGAGCTGTCTGCTGAGCTCGTTGTGAATTGTAGGGAAGACAAGTTGTGAGTTGAGCTCTGGAAGGGAAGGAGGTGGGGTGGGAGAAGGGCGGCCCGCCCCGCCATTGTCTGCGGTCTCTGCCCGGCTGATGCGATTAGGAGTGGCAGCGCTGGCAGGGAGCCCTTCTGCTGCGGGCACCAGGAGGCACTCCCAGGCAGCATTGCTATTTTTCATGTAATCTGGGGGAGCTGGCTTATAGTTCAGACCCATCCAGATGGCAGAGTCGGCCACAGCTGCCGGGGCTGAGGCTGCCAGTGGAGAGGTGTGGGGGGCTGGGGGCATGGGGCTGGGGACACGGAGGTGTGCCAGCCCGGCTGGAGCCCTACTGGGGAAGATGGAGTGAGCTGTCTGTCTCCTGCCCCACATCTCCTGTTAACCCTCGTGTCCCGGAACAGACAGGGCTCCTGTCAGTGTGACAGAAGGAGTGCAGGTCCTAGGATGGGGACTGGCACTGGCAAAGCTGGTTTCTTCTGTGTTTTGTTTTTCCTCAGGCTGGGGAAGAGGAGAGGGGGTATGAGGAGAGCTCGTATTTGTGGCATTATGCCTTCTTTTGGGCCGGAGTCGGGCTTTATGTACGTGATCTCATTTAATCTTCACCGGAAGCCCTGTGAGCTCTGGTTTGCTATCCTGTTTCGTAGTGGAGGAGGTGCAAGAACAGAGGGCTGAGTCCAGGCTGACTGCCCTACTCTCCCCGCGTGACCTCACCCCTGCAGAAAATACGTGAATGCATCAAGAATAGTCCTTTTTCACCAGCTTGCTAAATTTGCCTAGACGCCTAAGCTTTAAAAGGAGATTTGGGGTTGGCTTTTTTTGTTTGTTTTGCGCTGTCTGGCTGGTAAAATCCCTGACTAGGAAGGGGCATCATTGTCTACCGATGGGACCTGGGTGTCGGGGGAGCAGAGGAGCGCCCCGTCTTCCTCCCTTCAGGTGCCCACACAGTTCCCTTCTCGTCTGGAGTACAGCTCTCTGTCATTTCACCAGGTCTCCATGTCTCCAGGGTCCTTCCTCTTTGACGCACTTGTCTGCTGTGCCCAGTCTTGTTCGCTTAATTTGAGCGTCCCCGATTATCACTGGCACTGGTGGTCTGGGGCCTCTGTGGATCTGGGGTGTTCATGGATGGCTCCGCTTTGTACAACTGGCAGTGAAGGGTTTCCAGCTGCAGAAGGCAGCATTTTCTTCTTCTTATGTGTTCTGCTTCAGCCTCTGCCTCTGCCTGCAGTGGCCTTAGTGTCTGACTCATCCTCCCCAGGCCAGCAAGCCTGGCCCTGGGAGCAGCTGTGAGCCTGGGGGCTTAGCCAAAGCCCCAGGGCCTTCACTGTGCAGTAGGAGACCTTCTCTTCTGCATCCCGAGTGGTCCTCACTCACCAAGAGCCACCTCTCAGTGCTTCCTCCTGGCATGAGAGTCAGTTGGAGGATTAAAGGACCCAATGCAGACCCCCCAACCCCCAAAGTATACACTTTCCACTGCTACTTGCCTACAGGCCCAGAGGTTGGGGAGAGAAGACAAGGATGCCAGCCAGTCCAGCCAAGATGAGCTGCAGAGCAAGAAGTCCAGAGGCTCGGAGAGGTATAGTGCGTGGGAGGCCACCCTCAGGGACTTTGGGATGACGTGGACTTGGGCAGAATTCCTGGCTTTGGTCTACGTACCTCAGTGTGCTCCTGCCTGAAGGCAGATGGTGAACTGACTGGATGGCCTTGCAGAGTCTGCGTGTGTGCGTGTGCGTGTGCGTGTGCGTGTGTGTACGCAAACCAAGTCAGGAGTGGGAGGTACTGCTGGAGCATGTGGGAGTACTTTGTGCCCATAGCACCATTGTGGGGACAAGGCTCTGTCCTTTTCATCAGATTGGATGAAGGCTTGCGTGTCCCTGCTCGTGGGCCAGGGCTGGATAGCCTGCTCGAGGTCCGGGGGACCATGTTAGAGGGTCGGTAGTGCAGCTCAGAGCTCCGAGCCAGGCCTTACCACATCAGAAATGGCCGTGGCTGTGTGTGTGTGTGTGTATGTGTGTGTGTGAGTGAGAGAGAGAGAGAGAGTGAGAGAGTGAGAGAGATTGAGAGACAGGAGCTTCCAGCTTCTTAGCCCTGAGCCCATGATAAGAGAAGAGCTGCCACCCTGGAAGGGGAAGCGGGTGGTCGTTATACTCTTTGGACCCTGAAAAGCTATCAGCATTCTTACTTGAAGCCACAGCTTCCTGCATTGCCTATAGTCTGACCGTTGGAGTCTGGCTTCTCTTTTTCTCCCTCTTTTCTGCTCAGTTCTTCCATCATCACCCCCCACCCCCAACACACACACACACTCTCCCCGGCCCCAGTGATGGCAGGAATGCATACACCTGTGAGTGTGCCCCGCTCTCACTCCTGGGCCAAGCAAATGCAGCCCAGGGACCTGGGAAGGCTGAATGTAGTCCAGGCAAAGGGAGAGCTCCGGGGGGAGTTCCTTCGTCCTGCTTTTCTGGCTGCTTTGGCCTCCGTGGGCTCTCCATGGAGGTGGGGCCCTGGCTGAGGTCCAGCCCGCAGGAGGCATGGACCTCGGTCCCCGTACTCCACTCCCCAATTCTCCTGCTGCTGTCTGAGTGGAGGCCCTGACTCTGCTGCTCTGCCCAGGTTATCTCCTCCTCTTCTGCATGGGGAGCGGCTCCAGAGTCCCCTTCACAGCCAGGCCACGGATGAAGGGCCCCCGCAGCCCCTGGAGGAGCAGCTGGAACAGAAGGGGGCAGAGGAGCCTGGGGAGGGCTCTGCAGGCAGCCCCACGCCCCCTGGTTCCCTGCAGAGGTAAGGGTGGGCTGGAAGCCTCCCAGGGTGGGCGTGGCGGGCTTGGAGAGGTGGGGAGAGCAGGGGGCGGGGTTGCAGCCTAAGCATCCGCCACAGACATTTCTGCTGAGTGTTTCACACAAGCTGGAGAGTTAGGAAATCTGCCTCTTCCTCGTCCTTGGCCTACAGCTAAAGTCGGGGTGCACAGTCTGATTAGGGGAGCTTAGAAACTCTGGAACTAGCAAGTATGTCTTCTGACCCAGCTGCCCTCCTGCCAGGGGCCGGGGCAGAGACTGCTGTCACCCTGGACTAGACTGTTCCTGCCAGGGGGGCCATTTCCCCCGGTCCCCACCTGCCAGCCCCCTCCTTCCCAGCAGGCATCCCACTGCTAGTCACTCAGCAAGCCTGTGGGGAGCCCTGCTGGGTGCGGGGCCCAGGGCTTCCCTGAGGCCAGCTGAAAGGACCTTCACTCCCTAGCCTGCTCCAGAGCCGGTGTAGACTTGCTAGTTTGTTCCCCTGGCAAGAGAAAGACGCTGGTCTTAGAGCTCATCTGGTTGGAATGAGTCACTGGGGGAGGCTGCGTAGCAGCCGTGTTTAGTTGGCAGCATCCGCGGAACTCTGCTGTGTGCAGAGCCTCTCCTGGGTGCCATAACCATTCTGCATCCCACCTGGGACGTGAATCTCTGGTCCTTCAGTGTAAACTGCTCGGGGAGAGGCAGGGAGGGGAGCTGGGATCTGAGACCTGAGATAGGGAAACCACAGGTCTTGCCAGGGCCGCTGCCTCCTTTGTCCCCATCACAGACCTTTGACCCTGAATGGGGTACACCTGGAGCCTCTCACCTTCCTCTGGCTTTAACACAGTTGCTTCCTTGTTGCTGTCAAGGGAGGAGATCCCAAGCCCACCTGCCGCCCACCAGAGGGGCGAGGAGCAGTGCTCCCAGGCTGAGGGGCCGGGCCCTGGGCAGGATGAGGCCGAGGGGCCCAAGGAGAAGGTGGCGGTCGGCCCCACCCTGCCAGTCTCTCCAGAGGCGTAAGGGCCAGTTTTCACATCTGTCCCTGCCCTGCCCTGCATGTGGATTGCTTCAGTGCCCATCTGGTCTTGGACGGTGGGGAGGGCATGCTCTGGCTCCGGCTCAAGGAGTGGAGTGGGGGGAGAGTGAGCGAACCCTTGGTTCTGCGTGCAGCCTTGACCCCTAAGCAGCCCCCGGGGCTCCCCTGGTCAGCACCTGGGCTACGAGGCTGGAAGCGAGGGGGAGGGGGTAGGGTATCTCCTGGGTCATTAGCAGAAACCTGGTAAAGCGTGTTTTCCCCTCTACCAAGCATGTTCTTCTTTGAAAAAATTATTGAGGTATTTATATACATGAAAGTACATACATCTGAAATGTCCAAGTCAGTGAGTGTTTACATACGTATACACCATATCACAACCACCCAGATCATTAGCAGAACATTTGCATCCCTCCTGAAAGTTTCCTCAGGCCCCTTTCCTCTCAGTCCACCTGCCCTAGGTCACCGCTATTCTAGCTTCTGTCCCATAGATTCGTTTTTCCAGTTCTCTAACTTCATATGAATGGAATTATCTAGTACACAGTATGTATCTTTAGTGCCTGGGTTCCAAGCTCAGCTGTGCTCTTGCACCAAGCACGTCTAAAACTTAGAAACCTTTCCGCTCTCCTCCCCTTTCTCACCCCTTTTAGAGATCAGGAACCTGAGGTTCAGGGAGGTGAAGTGATTTGCCCAAGGTCACGTCGCCAGGCGGTTGCAGAATTAGGACCCGAGCCCTCTAGTCGCCCGAGCCGTCGACTTCTGACTCTTGCTCTGTAGCCACCGTGCCTTTTCTCTGCATGGAGAGAAACGGGTGTCAGGGTGATACAGGTTTTCCTGTCTGTGAGCTGAGCAGTACAAGAGGATGAAGCGTCCTCAGGATTCGGGCTGACTGTTGGGCAGAGACAGGTTCATGCCCTGATTACTCACAGGAAGCGTCACCGAGAGCTGGCGGGGCACGTGAGTGCACAATCTCATGTCATCGCTGTAGCGCTGCAGGAGTGATGTAGGGAAGGGGTAGCCCGTTTTTCAGGTGGTGATATATCCCACAGTGACAGCTCTGCCCCTGAGGAATGACATAGCTTTCCCAGGTCCCCTGGGTGGCTGTGGGCAGCCAGATCAGGGTGCTTTTGATGAGGACAGGAGGTGAGTGGGGTTCAGAAACAGGACCCTCTGGGCAGAGGTCAGAGGGCATTTTCCCAGGGCTTCTGGCAGAGAAGCTGGCCAGTGAGGCTCCTCCTGGCTGCCTGGGCTGATGAGTCCCCTTCCTTTGTGTTTCTCCTCCCATCCCAGTGAGGCTGCCCCTGCTGGGGGGCTCTCTCCTGGACCACACAGTTTCAGTTTACACAGCGCCCTTAGGAAATGTCTTCTGTTCCTTTCCTAAGTCTTCTCAGGCTCCATAACTTCCTTGTTATTAATCTTTACAGCTACGTTAAGAATGGATTGATTTTCTGGGATTCGTGGGGAGTGGCTCTGTGTCTGTGCCTCATTTGTATCCATGGGATTTTCATTTATGAAGGTGACTGAGTGACAACACAGAGAGGCCCATGCCACTGAAAGAAGAATTTGTTCCTTATATTTCCAGAGAGAAGAGGGCATGCCACGCCAGGTGGGGCCACGTGGGGAAGGACCAGGCTTGGCCAGGAGGCCGAAGAGGCGAGAAGGAAGAGCATAACCCAGAGCCTTCATTGGGGTTTTCGTGGGAAGCAATGGGCGAGACAGGGTAAGTACCCTGAGCGAGTGGAGGGGTGGAAAGTTGGAATAATTTTGGAGGGCTCTGGGCCTGGTCTCTAGTTACCTGGTGCCTGGCCCTGGGTGATTTTGGGCGTGGGAAATAGATCAGGAGATGGTAGGGGGTGTAGGGATTGGTTGGTTTGCCTGTGAAAGACATACTCCCTTTGCTGTCTCTAAGGATCGGCTGATCTGGGAGGGGGCACCCTCTCCTTGACCAGCCAGCTTTTTCAGATGCCATAACATCATGAAATACGGAAAATAAAAAGCATGATTAGTAGAGTCTGTCACCTACATAGATATTGTCAAGCTGAATCAGGAGGAGTTCAGAGCAAAGGGCAGGTCAGGGAGTGCAGGGCTAGCAAGCAGCCACTGCTGTGCGTGCTTTGTGGCCAGAGGCCTGGGTCTGGGAAACAAGGGTACCCTTCCGTTTGTCATCCCAGCATCTTTCATGAGGTGTGTATAGAGAGAGGGTAAATGAATTAAAACAACTGGGTTGAAAGTGAGCGGAGACAAGATCCCTGATAGTGATCTGAGTTTTAGTGGTACCCTGGCCATTTCAGGGCCATGGGTATCATATCCGCCTCCCTCTCCTCCCTCCCTGCCCGCCTTCTCTCTTTGCTTTCCCTCATATGGCTCGGAGTAACTCGGTGGCCCGTCTGAAAGGACGACGCTCTTACTGAGCCTCTTCTTGGCCACTAACTGTTGCAAACTGTGTCTCACTGATGCTGATACCTGAGGAGTGGCCTAGAAATCGGACCTGCCTCTTCCTCTGGAGTCTTCAACTGCCCAGTTATCTCATAGGCTCATTCAGGCTCACTGTTTGACCGCCTCGGACCTAAGCTGGGAGTTTGGGACACTCGATCTTTAAAACAGGGACACGGAGGAGAGGCCCACTGAAAAGCAGCCCCATTTGCCTGTGTGCCAGACGTGCAGGCAGGCTCAGTGGTGCGTGCAGCCTGGGCACACACGGGCACGCCGGCTGATGCCCCATCTCTCCGCAGCATCTGTCCCCAGGGCTCCACACAGCTACGTAGCCCACAGGGGAGAGAGACATTAAAAGGTACCATCTCAGGGAAAAAAGATGATTTCAGCTCAGGCTGGAAATGAGTTGGAGGGTTGATGACGCTGAGAGCTGCGGGGGGAGGCCCTTTCCGAGGGCGGTATTCTCAGAGGAGGTGGCGGCCACGTCTTACATCTGCATCAGTCGGGCTGGGACAGGGGACTGAGAGGAAGCTGGGAATTGGAAGCGGGGAGACGGGCTTGGGAGCAGAAGAGAACTGAAGGCAGGACTCGAGACTGCTTCTGGTCTGAGTCATGATTTTAGGAAAGATCTTAATGATATTTCAGAGATAGCAGTAGCCTTTTGTGTCTTCCTTCTCTCTCTGGCCTCAAGGGGCTGAAATGGAATTCCAGAGCCCTTGTTTACTTCTGCTCTTCTAATTTGATCCCGCCCGCTGCCTTCTGTCTCCTGCAGTGTGGGAGCTGAGGGAGGAGGGAGTTTTACATCCCCAGCGGTGGACGGGGGACTGGCTCCCCTCTTGGGCTCTGGCCCCTCTTGTCCTTGATTGGACCACGCCCATATGCCGTTGGGGTCCACTGGGCCACTGTGCCAGGCCTGCCGCAGCTGGAGCACCGCGGGAGAAGATGGTGGTTGGGTGGCCAGACCAATTTCTGATGTAAGATTTAGGCACCTGGGAATGCCAGCACGTCCTGGCCTTTAGGAAAGCCGCTCTGGGAGGCTAAACACTTTATCCCGCTTATGCTTTCGTTGCTTAAAATGTTCTTGGGGTTTCTCTTTGGGTATCTCCTTTAAGAACCAGAATACAAGCAACATAACAGCCTTCATTATAGACATCTCTTTAACCGATACCAGTGTTCCTTATCTTACCACCGCCTTATGCATCCAGGTTAGAATTTCTTTTACACATTTCCAAACAGCGAATTCACTCTAAGCAGATGAAGGTGTGGCATCATCGGGGAGATATGGAGCCTGGCATCTGGTTGTGCTCTTGCTCCTGTCTTTGGCTTAGGGAAGGGTCTCCTGCCCGGCTCCCTTGGCAGAGTGGGGAGGACGGTTTCCCATTCCTGGCCTCCATGGACTATTCTAGGTCTCAGGGCTAGGAGTTCCTGCAGCGAGGAGACATGCTGCTGCTTCTCCCGCTAGCTCATACACACTGGCCTCTGTTCAGTTTGAGAGTCAGAGAGCAGCCCCTGGGGACTTCCCAAACTGCTGGCCTTGAGCCTCAAGTAGCAGGGAGAGCCCTGGTAGGGAGTCGGAAACAGGGCCATGAACCACTCTGGGGAGGAGTCCATGAGGGACAGAGCTCTGCTCTCTTCCTGCTGCCGCCAGCCCTTGAGCCACAGCTTGGGTGTTCACTCAGGCCACAACCCACCAGGTGCCCTGAGAGCCTCCTACGGGGCACCCTCATCCGCAGGCTCTCGGGGCCTTTGACAGCCACCGTGGGGCTTGTCCTATAGAACAAATGCTGCCTGTGTCTTCGAGAGGGTAGCCTTGCTGCCCGCCCTTGGGTACAGTGATTTGCACTTACGATTCCTGACCCTGGGCCCTCTGTTAGGGTTCCGTATGTGCTGTTCTGTATCTGTGTAAATCCTAGTGCCAAAAGGTGGGTGGATAGTAAACCTAGTGAAATGCTGCTTCCACCCTTGGCAGGCGATCTACGGAGCCTGCGGTTCCCCCAGAGCAGCTCTCAGAGGCTGCACTGAAGGCCTCGGAAGAGGTGGTGGCCCAAGGACTCGAGCAAGAGCAGAGGGGGCTCCTGGAGTCCAAGCGAGAGAAGATGCCGCGGCTGCAGGAGAAGCTGTGGCAGGAGGAGGAGGCGGCGGAGACCCTGCAGCTTCACCGGCAGAAAGAGAAGGCGCTCAGGTCCCGCCCCGCCCCCAGTCCAGCTGCCCCAGCTGTGCAGGGACACCCTCCTCCCACCCTGGCAGCCATGGGGATGCCCGGGGCCCCTCCAGGAGTGCTCCCCAGTGGCCCGTGTGGAGGGGTGGGCTCCCTGGCCAGGGCTCGTGCCTTTCCTCTTTTTGGGGAGGACTTGGGAGGCGTGATCATAATGAGGGTAGCTAACATTTGTTGAGAGATTACACTGATCCATATGCTTAATGTCTATTAATTTGTTCAGTCCTCGAATGGCCCTTACGAGGTGTCGTCATCAATTCTGTTTTGTAGCATCTATAATACAGACAAAGAAACTGAGGCACAGAAAGGTTAAGTAGCTCGTCCCAGGTATGGAGGCTTGTAAGCAGCAGAGCCCGGGTTAACCCAGGCGCTTTGTCTCCGGAGAACAACTACATCGTCCTCTCTCGGGAGTCAGGGCCCTGTTGGAACCCGCTGAGATTGGGAGGGACCACGTGAGGTGCTCTCGGACCCAGAAGTTTCTATTTGGGTTCCTACTCTTTGAGTAGCTGTCTGCGAGGCCCTAGACAAAGGCGACATGGAAGCCTGGGCTGGGCCCACGTGTACAGGATTGTGTGTATGTACGCTGGAGTTTTATTTTTATAGGAAGAGGCAGTTCAGGGCTGGCATGATGGCTACACAGAGTCACCAGGTCCCTGGTCTCCTTTCATGTCTCTGCCATCTTTAGTGCTGGGTTTTACTCTCAGGGTCTCTTTACAGTCCAGTATAGCTGCTGGATCTCCAGCCATCGTGTCTGTGCTCCAGGCAGGAAGATTAGGGGCACCTTCTAGCTCATTCAGTCCCTTTGAAGGCGCTTTCCTGGAAACTTTACCCAATAACTTCTGCTTATTCTTTAAAGGAGTTTTCCTGGAAACTTTATCCAATAATTTCCACTTATATCTGGCTGGCTACCCCTGGTTGCAGAGGCTAACTGGGAAATGTAGTCCTTCAGCTGGTCCTCTGTACCTGATAGAAAAAAAATCAGGGTTCTCTTAGTAAAGAAAAATGGGAGAATGGATATTGAGAAAGGTAGTAAGTAATCTCTGTCACAGTCCCCGGATGGGAAAGGTGCTACAAAATGATGTTAATATATTTCACTTACTTAGCAATTAAACTAAAGGCTAAATCTTGTCCTCTTGGACAGAACATCCGAAAGTGCTAGAGACTTGCTATTTTTCTATCATATGTAGCAAAGACTTACAAAAATATTTATGCTTAATTTAGAGAAACTAACAAAGCCAACACCCAACTACCCAGAGGGTTGGGGACAGTCTCTCTCATTAGCCCAACACAGGATCTACTGACCCTGGGTCCATCCTTATGTCACCCCTCCTGGATCCCCAGCCAGAGTGCATCCCAGAGGACAGATCTTCCCACAGCATCTTCCTCTTCCAGCCAACTGAAACTTGGGGCGGGGGCCCACCCAAACAGGGTGCAACTCAGCTTACCTTGAGAGACAGTGCCTGGGAGGAAATCCCCGTGGTGTCTCCCTGCCCACCTACCAGGCTCCTCTCTCTTCCCAGTCACCCTCAGCTGGGCTGACTGTGCCCTTTGTCCCTCCCCAAACCCCCCAACTGCAGAGGGGGCCTCCCAGAGACCTCTTAAGTCGTGGTGAAAACCAGCCGCCGAAAGTGTCCGACTCAGGGCCTGAAACACAGTAGTTGCTCAATAAATGATGGCTCTTGATTGTAAATATTTTCAGTCGAAATCAGTACAGTGTCAGCGGTCTTGACTAAGTGGTTTCTCTGTGGGCAGTGCCTTGCCTGGCTATCTTCCAAGTAGTTTATCACGAGAACCCTGTTTCTGTTTACGTGTGAGCCTTTCTGAGGGGTGGCGCCTCCTCTTTGCTGGGAAACTGCCACTTGGTAGAAATTTCTGGAAACCCCAGCTGACCTTGTAGCAAATATTTCTCGAATGAGAAAGCAGGCAGTAAGGCAGACAGGCTAACTCTCAGCTTCTTTAGTTACAAAACAAGGAGATTGAGTTTAGTTGTAAGATGAAGAGAGAGAGTTGTAAAATGCAGGACTTAACCTCTAAAGACCCTTCCAGCTCTGCCATTCTGCAGTGCTGCGTGTAACATTTGGCCACAGGATGAAGAGAAAGGGTTTCTGGGGAATCTAGGAGGAGGGATTTTTACTTCACTCAAATTTTCTGTCATCATGGAAGAGAGCAGTGGTGCTGATAACTTAAAATAGGAAATGAACCTAAATCTTTTCTGGCTTTGGAATTCACTCCAGAAGCTTTTCAAAGAAATTGTCTTCTGAATCGTGCACAGCACACAGCCCCTGGTCACGTGGGGGCCGCAGGAGGGTTGTCTGCTTGGGATGAGAAGGTTACTATCGTTAGTCTGCAAGTAAGATACCCCTCATAGATAATCAAAGCTTGCTTATAGTTTAGGCCTGTTGATACTGTTCAAATTCAACAAACATGCATTGAATACCTACGTCATATCTGTTACTGTGTTTGGCACTTAGGATAAAACAGGTTTTAAGACAAGACTCTTTCTCTGGAGAAGCTCCCAGGCTTGTAAGGAAAACACACATACAAAAGATTAATTAATTATGGTGCAGTGTGATGCGTGGCACCGAGCGGCATGCTTAAGAAAGGTCCTCATATAAAGTGTGTTGGGAGCAGAAAGGTAATTGATGAACTTGGAAAGACTTCTCTGAGAGGAGGGAGCTGGGTGTTGAACAAGGAACATGGGTTCATCAGGTAGGAAAGGGGATTCTAGACGGGGGAACCAGCATGAACAAAGGCCAAGAGGCAGGGAAGAGTGTAGTGGGGTTTAGAGGGGGTGGCTCATCTGCTGTGGCCAGAGCTGGGCTGGAGTCAGACTGGATCCCACCTTGAGTGAACGCCACCAAGGTGAACCTGGAGGCCGAGGGGAGCCTTTGGCAGAAATGCTGTGCTGGGATCATGGAGCCTGTAATCTGCTTCCGGCTGCGAAGAGCAGGTGGTTCATAGCCCCTCTAACCTGGGGAGGTATTAGAGGGAGGCAGCAGGACCCAGAGGCTGAGGTTAGACTCGTCTTTAAGACTTAGGAAGCTTCGGACTTCCCTGGTGGTGCAGTGGTTAAGAATCTGCCTGCCAATGCAGGGGACACAGGTTTGAGCCCTGGTCCGGGAAGATCCCACATGCCGCGGAACAACTAAGCCCGTGCGCCACAACCACTGAGCCCACGTGCCACAACTACTGAAGCCTGCATGTCTAGAGCCCATGCTCTGCAACAAGAGAAGCCACTGCAATGAGAAGCCCACGCACTGCAACGAAAAGTAGCCCCCGCTCGCTGCAACTAGAGAAAGCCCGCGCACAGCAACAAAGACCCAAGGCAGCCAAAAATAAATAATGAATAAAAAATAAAAAAATAAAAAATTAAAAAATTAAAAAAAAAGACTTAGGAAGCTTCACAGGCAGGCTACGGGCTTTTGGAGGCCGAGAGCCAGGGGTTATGCCTAAAAGAGGGAAGGCCTTGTGGTCCCGCCAACAAACTTGCCTTTCCTTTGCTTCACAGTTCCCTGACAGAGCAGCTGCAGAGAGCCACCGAGGAAGAGGAGAGCCTGGTGAGAGAGCAGGAAGGCCAGAGGCTGTCCCGGCTCTGCGCCCAGGTGCAGTGCAGCGTGGAAGCGGATGAGGACCAAATCAGGTGAGTGCGGGCTGTGGGCTGCCCGGCCCCCTGGAGGTCCACCCCCGCCTCCCCCAGTGCCCAGGCCCATCCCCACCCGCTTGTCTGCCCAGGGCCGAGCACGAGGCTTCCCTGCAGAGGCTGCGAGAAGAGCTGGAGTCTCTACAGAAGGCTGAGAGGGCCAGCTTGGAAGAGAGAAACAGGCAGACGCTGGAGCGTCTCAGGGAAGACATGGAGGCTTCGGAGAAGAGAGAGCAGGCCGCCCTGAACACGGAGAAGGAGAAGGCCTTGCAGCAGCTGAGGGAGCAGCTGGAAGGGGAGAGGAAAGACGTGAGTGCCCCCCTCCCCACCCCAATGTGATCCTGGGCTGCCTGGGGAGGAGCTGAGCGCTGAGGAAGAGGAAGCGCCAGCCTTGGGGCGCAGGGTGGGGAGCCAGGTGGAGAACGGGTGTCTGCGTGGATGGCCAACGAGATGTCGGGCCGGCTGTCTGGGCCTGTGTGGACCTGGCCTGTGCATTTGGGAAGATTCATGACTGAAAGAACTTAAACCAGACCAGAGCTCTTGAGACAAAGGGGCCTTGTCCTCGTCCCTGAGGGGCAGCTGTGAGGACCTCGCATTTCTCTCCTTTCCTCCCCTGCCTCAGAGTGAGAGGCTAGCCCGCTCAGAGGAGTTTTTTCTCCTTTGTCCTTACTCCCTGTCCCTCCAGTCCAGTGGGTCTGTCTCTAGGTAAGAGGCTGAAGTAGGTAATAGGTCACATGGAACTTTTGTTTTCTTTTGGTGATGGGTGGAGTTTCAGCTCTCAGGCCCAGGGTGTCTGCAGCGAGGCGTGGGGGTGTGGGGACATCATTGTACTGCACGCTCTCTGGGAGGTGGTGCTGAGACGCGCAGGCCTCCCTGCCTGGTGCTCATGCACAGGCAGGAGTGTTGCCTATATGCCGGTGGCCTAGAGGCGGGGGAATGGAAGCCGTGACCGAGCCTTACTGAAAGGCCCCTCCACTCTGGCGTTCACGTCCCTGTTCGTTTGCGAGGTGCAGACTTGAGAGGCAGTTATTTCGGAGGAATCAAAGATGTGCCTGCGGTTCCCCTGGAGTGCTTAGCTCGAGAGGCATTGGGGGTGGTCTTCTGGCTCTCCTCGTCTCAGCTCAGAGCCCGGCCAGCCTGCCCTGCGTCCTCACAGGCCCTCTGCTCTGCCCCAGGCGGTGGCCGCGCTGGAGAGGGAGCACAGAGAGGAGCTGGAGCGGCTGTCTTCCTCGCTGGAGGCCAAGCACAGGGAGGTGAGGCGCGGTGGCCCTGGCTGGCGGGGCAGACCCTGGGCATCCTGGGGTGTGAGCCGCGGGACCCCTTCACCCACACCCCGTACCCTAGGGAGGGAGTTTCCCTCTCCTGCAGCCCCCGGGGGGATGGGTGCTGGGACCCTGGGAAGCGAGTCCCCCGCGGCCACTCTGCAGCGCTCTCTGCGGGTCACGCTCCCCTGTGTGGGTGCCTCCTCAGGTGGTCTCCAGCCTCCAGAAGAAGATGGAGGAAGCTCATCAGAAAGAGGAGGCCCAGCTGCAGGAGAGGCTTGGGCGGGCGGAGCAGAGAGCTCATCAGAAAGTTTATCACGTTCTCGAGTACGAGCAAGAGGTGAGTGCTGGTCTGCTCCTTTGACTCTGTGTACCTGTCGTGGACACTCTGACGGTCGGCCGAGCCATCCTGGCCCAGGGGTCCTCTGATTTGCTTTGGACAGCTCAGCTGGGGTCAGGACTTCAGGGTCCGTTTTCATGCCTTAGTTCCCTGGAGGCCAAGTGCTTCTCCACCCCCATGCCCTATATGTGAGGAGGAGGGCGTGCTGGGTGTGGCCGTGTGTATGTCACCTGACGTGTGCACGTGGGGACATCGGGGAGGTTGTGTCACGTGTGTATGAGTCCCTTCAAGTGCTTCAGTCCCCGGATGCTGCTCCAGCCTCAGTCCTGCATGTCGCATCCCTGCCGCCTGCCCTGCAGCTCAGTGGCCTCCTGAGAGAGAAGCGCCAGGAGGTGGAGAAGGAGCACGAGAGGAAGATGGACAGGATGAAGGAGGAGCATCAGCAAGTGGTGGCTGAGGCCAGGGAGCAGTATGAAGCCGAGGTGACCTCACCACGTTCCCTGGCACTTGCACACGCGCGCACACACACACACACCCCGGGGTCACACACACCCACACACACCCCGGGGTCACACACACACACACACACCCCGGGGTCACACACACACACACACACACCCCACCCCCCACACCCTGAGGTGACTTCACCACGTTCCCTGGCACTTGCACGCGCGCACACACACGCACACCCCGGGGTCACACACACACACACACACACACACACACACACACACACCGAGGTGACTTCACCACATTCCCTGCCATGTGCATGTGCGTGCACACACACACACACAGACACCCCACGCACACACCCCAGGGTCACACACACACACACACCCCGGGGCACACACACACACACCCCGAGGTGACTTCACCATGTTCCCTGCCATGTGCATGTGCGTGCACACACACACACATACACACACACACACACCCCGGGGTCACACACACACACACACACCCCACCCCCCACACCCTGAGGTGACTTCACCACGTTCCCTGGCATGTGCATGTGCGTGCACACACACACACACACACACACACACACACCCCGGGGTCACACACACACACACCGGGGTCACACACACCCCAGGGTCATTCCCAGCTGGCCGGAGGGCCTGGGAAGGGGACCACCTGTGGTCAGGGATGGTGGGAGGCTTTCTTTCTTGGCACCCTGCAATGGTGAGATCGTGTTTTGCCTTTTTACTAAAGCATTAGGTGAGGAGCGATTCCTCCCCATCAGCAGGCTGCACTTTGCTCTCATATTAATAATAGCTGATGTGTGTTGAGCTTGTACGACGTGTCGGGCACTGTCCTAAGCTCTTTATGTATATTACCTCATTTAGTCCTCACGACACCCCTAGGGGGTTCATACTATCATTATCTCTATTTTAAAAAGAGGGAACTGAGACTTGGGGAGTGTAAGCAACTCTCGCAAGCCCACCCTGGCTAGTAAGTAGAGGAGCTAGGATTCAAGCCAGAATGTCTGACTCCAGAGTCTTCAATTTTAACCACCCAACACCGTGCCACCAGGGTTAATAGAAATTCCAGGACACCAGGAAATAGGCTGGCAAGAGCCACCCAATATTTAGATATTATCTGCCCGACTTCAGCCTTCGGTGGGAACGTTCAGTGACTTGAGTGGACCCATGCCGGCTTGCTCACGTTGGGGGTGGACGAGGGGGAGGGCTGGTGGCTGACTTTAACCCAGAGCCAGGCCTCTACCCAGGGTTTCTAGGCTACTCCTCCAGTAACTGGAACCGGTATCCCAGACTCTGCACCAGGGCAGAAATAGCGGCCCATCGTGGTGAAATGTAGTTGACTCCCTTCCCAAACCAGTTCTGCCCTTGCTGAGGAAGAGTGAGAATTTAGTAACGATCTCTCTTCCCTTAAGGAATGAAGGCTGTACGTGCAGGGGTGGTGGGTGAGGCCGGCTTCCACCCAGGGATTTCTCAGCACGTCTGACCAGCATTGTTTCAGCAGCAGAGAGCCAGGGTGCAGGCTTTCTGGGGGCGGGACCTCGCCGTCCTCAGTGCTCTCCTGCTCTTCTCCAAGAGCCGGCCTTAGAGGCCTGTTGGGGTCCCTGATGGCACTGACCCAAGGCTGCAGGGTGGGCTGTGGTTTTAGGGGTGGGAGGGGCGGCTGTGGTTTCCCACCGGCGGCCCCACCGTCCGTGCAGGAGAGGAAGCAGCGGGCCGAACTCCTGGGGCACCTGACGGGAGAGCTGGAGCGCCTGCGCAGGGCCCACGAGCGGGAGTTGGAGACAGTGAGGCAGGAGCAGGACCGGCAGCTCGAGGACCTGCGGCGGCGGCCCCGGGAGCAGGTGGGGGCCCCGGACAGACGGTCGCTTGGGGCCCGCCCTGCCCGACCCCTCCACCCCGGGTAGAAAAGTGCTGGGGGCTGGCACTGCAGCAGCAGCAGACGGAGCCTGACAGCTTCAGGGGTGGGGGTCTCTTGCTGGCCATGCGCAAGCTGGGGCATCCTTGCGCTTTTGTTTTCTGGGCCGGGGAGCATCCCCAGGACTAGAGGCGGAGGTCAGCAGCCCCAGGGCCTCGGGGTTGGCACCTTCGCCTCTCCTCGCCCCCGCTGAAATAGACGAGAGGTGGTGCTCTGCTGGGAGGCCGTGGGGGCAAGTGGGGGAAGCCAGCCCAGCTTGGAGCGGGCGGTATGGGGTGGTAGGTCACAAACCCCTCCTGCCGCTCAGCACGTGCCTGTGCTCTTGCTACGCTCACGGCTTTCTCTCCACCTACACTTCTGTGCAGGAAAGGAAACTCCAAGAGTTAGAGGTGGAGCTTGAAACCAGAACCAAGGATGTCAAGGCCAGATTGGCTCAGCTGGATGTCCAGGTGCGGGAGCGGGGGCGGAGGACAGGTTCTCGGGGGCCCTGGACCTTGGAGTCAGCTTCCCCGGGAGAGGACCCGGGGCCCGGAGATGGCCAAATTGCCGGTCCTCTCCTTCGCCCGCAGGAGGAGGCCGCCCGGAAGGAGAAGCAGCAGCTCCTCGATGTGCAGAGGCAGTTTGCATTGGAGCGCGAGGTTTGGCGGCCTCCCCTGTCCTCTCTCCTCTATCTCCCCTATTCCATTTCCTTCCCTCCCGTACCCCTTTGTTCACCGGATCTGTCCACGGAATTGGGTTCCAGACTATATTGGCTGCTATTGCACAAATGGCCCCAGCGTGTGGGACCAGCTCAGGAGCCGCCGGGGGTGGGCCCGGTGGGGGACACTGCTGCTGACGGCAGACACAGGCCTTCAGGGTGCCTGGTTCCATCCTCTCCCCATTGCTCTTCCCTGTTGTCTGGTGCTGCCCGCTCCCTGCCTGCCGCGCCCCCCACCCCCCATGTCTCTGGGTGTGTCTCTCTTTCGTCCTGCCCCCAGGAAGCCACAGCCACCCGTCAGCACCTGGAGGAGGCAAAGAAGGAGCACAGCCACCTGCTGGAGTCAAACCGGCAGCTCCGAAGAATCGTCGAGGAGCTTCAGGCCCGCAAGTTGGAGCTGGAGTCCCAGGTGGATTTGCTGCAGGCCCAGAGTCAGAGGCTGCAGAAGCATGTCAGGTGGTCTGTACCCCTGCATTTAGCCACCCCTACTGCCTCTCGCCTGCCCTCTGACCTCTGCTGCTCATGGGCCCTTTCTACTCACGGCCCAGTTAACAGGCAGAGGTGGGGCCAGGTGGAGGGGCTGCGTTTTGTGGGGAGTTGGGGCTGTGAGTAGCCGGGGGTCCCTGGTTCTACTGTTCGTGCCCCAGCTCTGCCTCCAGGGTCTTTGACAGGAGTGAAGGGATGGAGATGGTTCTCCCCCCTTCCCCCCAGGAGTCCTGACAGTGTGCTGCCTGGTCTGCTTCGTCATGTGACCCTGCCTCCCCCCACCTCCCCCTCTCGTCTCCCACCACAGTGACCTGGAGGCCAAAGCTCAGAGGAAGCAGGACTTGCTGAAAGAGCTGGCGGTGGAAGAGAGTGATGCTTCCTCACGATTTGAGCCTGATCTCCACATTGAGGACCTGAGGAAATCCCTTGGGACGGTGAGCTTTTCTGTGCCTTGGGAGGGTCAGGGTGGCTGGGCTAGGGCAAGGCTCCAGGCACCAGGAGGGGGCGGGCCTCCCAGAGTGCACCAGGAGGGGGTGGGGCTCCAGGAAGACTCTGGGCTCCTGGAGGGGTCCTGGCTCTGTTCTGCATAGAACCTTAGTCTCCTATTCTTATCATTCCTAGTCCCCTTCTCCATCAGTCAGATTATATCTGTAAGTGAATAGTCCAGCAGCTGGCAGAACCATTTCTGTGTCTGGGCCACTAGGAGGGACTTTGGGGTCCTTGGAGCCTGTAGTGTATCTGATGGTACCTTCAATGGGCCTTTTCTACTGTGTGTCCTAGAACCAGACTAAAGAGGTATCCTTTTCCCTCTCCCAGAGCAAGGAGGAGACCGACTTGTCCTTGGACAGGTGAGTTCCAATAACCTGTCTTATTTTGCATTGAGGATGCCAGGAAGGGGTAAGTGAGTGCCTGCGTCACAGAGCCGGGGTGGACTGAAACGTGACGGTGGTCTCCAGCGGGGCTCGGTTCAGGGAAGGGCCCTGGGTGCCTGAGGAATCGTCTCTGACAAGCCAAGAAGGTGCCCATGGTGATCTCTGGCATCTGCTGACCTCTGCTTGTGGGTCGGGCTGATGGGAGTGTCTAGCCATCTCTGGAGGCCTCAGGCACGTTCCCTTTCATAGTCAGGGTGGGAGGACTCAGCGCAGCCCGTGCCCCGCGCTCTGTGGGTATTTAGTGGTGATGTCCCCGCACTCTGCCCGGCCCCAGCACCGCAGTCTGTGCTCAGGATGGGCATCTGCTCGGGAAGTGGTTGTGACCCACAGCAGGGGTTCTCAGAGAGTGTGTGTCCCCCTCCAACCCCCCGCCCTGTCCCCCCGCAGCGCCCGGCACTACCTCTCTGCCGAGGGGGTAGCTCTCCGCAGCGCCAAGGAGTTCCTGGTCCGGCAGACGCGCTCCATGCGGAGGCGGCAGACAGCTCTGAAGGCTGCCCAGCAGCACTGGCGCCACGAGCTGGCCAGCGCTCAGGAGGCGGCCAAGGACCCGCCAGGCACCAAGGCCCTGGAGGACATGTGCAAGGACCTGGAGGAGGTCAGGAGCCCGGGGGAGGCCTGGGGCAGCCGGTGGCACTCCCTTTGGGCTCGCCCTCAGTTGATCATTCTGGGGACTACACGAGAGTGGTCACATGGGCCTTGGGGTCACTGGACAAGTCTAGGGAGACCAGACAGGAGATACAGGATAAGATCTCCACGAGGATGGAAGCTTCCTTACATTTACGTGCCAGTGCAGTGTGTGGAACGCTTTCTCTAATAGGAAGTCATTTGGGCCTCACAGTAGCCATAGATGATGTGCAAGGTAGTAGTGGTATTCCCATTTTCTAGGGGAAGAGGAGAGCCGTTCCACAGTGCTTGGCCATTCCATCACACTCAAGACTTCACTCAGAAGTGAAAATCTTTTGAGCACACTTGGCATAAGCTTGAGTTACTTCTCTGTTTTCCTTCTCTGAGACCCTGATTTGCAATGAAACGGCAGAGACGCTGTGGTTATTATCAGTGGGATCACAGCTCTCTCTGCCATTCGGGGGTCTTGGCAGACGATCATACCTGGTCCCTTAGAATTCTGAGGGTGCTCAGAGCTGGTGAGTGAGCTGTGGCCCCTGAGCCTGGCTGGGGGCGGCAGAGGGCAACAGGCTGGTCCCGATAGAGGGGCAGCCTTCCCAGGGACATCTGCATGCTACCCCCAGGCCCTGTCACTGCTCTGCTGAATCCCTCCTGCTGCTGCCGCTGATAGTACTGGTAGTTGGAGCAGTGATAATAATAACCATTTGGTTAACAGTAACCATTTGAGAATTTATTAGGAGTGGGCATAGTGGAGGGCACGTAGCGTACTCTATCTCTTCTAATCCTCACAACCCTATGAGAAGTAGTATTTCTGTTTTTTAGATGAATGTCCAGACTGAGAGTTCAGTAATTTGTTCAAGATCACCCAGATCAGCCGGCCTACAAACGGCAGAGCTGGGCCTCCGGCATCTGCCTGGGTGGTTAGTCACCGTCTTCCTCCTCCCCTTTCTTCGTGGCTGCAGGAGACCAGGCACCTGGATGAGATGAAGTCAGCCATGCGGAAAGGCCACGACCTGCTGAAGAAGAAGGAGGAGAAGCTGCATCAGCTGGAGTCTTCTCTCTGGGACGAGGTGCAGCCCAGTTTCTGCCGTGGCCTCCCTCCTCTATTCCTGGGATTCGGTTGGGTTCTTTGGTGCTGTGTCGGGACAGCTGGGCTGCCAGGGCCCAGGATTGGCAGTAGGCTTAGGGCTTCTGGGCTGGTGAAAACGGCAGTGGCTTCAGCTTTGAATTTGTTGAACACATCTGGGGCTTTGGATATCTGTGCTGAGTGGTCCTGAGCAGACCCGGAGCCTCTTGCTGAAGGTTCTTGGGAGGGGACTGGCCCCTGCCCTGGTGCCCGACGAGAAGTTTGCCCCGGGTGTCAGGAATAGAGGCTCCTACAAGGTTTCCCTACCTTCCCTTTCCCCCAGATGCCAGAGGTGTAGGTACAACACCTACACCTTAGGTGGAGAGACACCATGGGGAGTGTTTACTGTGGGGGGAGGGGTTGGGGTCTGCCTGGTCCTGGTGGCCCTACTGCCCTATCTTCGGTGGCTGAGTTCTCTTAGCCTCGCCTGTAAGGCAGCCTATATGACGTGCCTCTCCTAGAACTTTGGGCCCAGAGAGCCTACCCACCAAGTCCTCAGGTGTCACGAGGGCAGTGGGCAGAAAGCACAGGGCAAGTCCTTACCGCCGCTTCACCCACCAGGCTTCAGATGAAGACACTCTGAGAAGACCCCCCACCAAGAAGGTGGTGACCTTTGACCTCAGCGACCTGGAAGACGGGAGCAGTGACAGTTCCGAATCCTGCCCCCTGCCTCACAGTGAGTGGGGTATCCATGGGGAACGGAGGGGCTGCACCTGTGGCCCCCTCCGGGGGCCAGTGTCTGGAGCAGATGCTTGGGCAGGAGTGAGCCCTCTGGGTTTCCCAGCACACTGGGCCCAGAGGCTCAGGGGAAGCCTTCTGATCATGCAGGGTCCTCACAGTGAGACAGGGGTCCCTCCTGGTGCCGTCCCCAGCCCCCCGGGGAGGCTCTTCTCCCTCTGCAGCTGTGGCCTACAAAGGGGTGGCGGCCCTCACCCTGGGGATGCTCTTTCTCTCGGCCAGCTTCCTGTCTGGAACACAGAAGCCCTGGGGCTTTTGTTGGGAGGAACGGGGAAGGGGTGGGGATGTGGGCCAGTAGGATGCACAGTGCCAGCTGGGCCTGGGCCATTCCAGGGCCCCGAGCCCAAGTCCTGCCCCACCCTCTGCCTCTTCCCTTTCAGTCGTCCCGACCCCGAGTCCCACTTTCCCCAACAAGATCCACTACCTGAGCAGCTCCCTGCAGCGGATCAGCGGCCAGCTCAACGGTGTCCTCAGCGTGCTGGGCAGCCTTAACACCCAGCCTCCGCCGCTTTTCACCTCCACGCCCTCACCGCTCCCCACCCAGGCCTCCAGGAGCACCCCCGCTCCCTCCTACCCCTCCCTGCTCCGGGTCTCAGCCTCATCCCCGGCTCCACCCACATCCACCCAGTGGGCCTGGGACCCAGAGCTGGGCCCCCGGCTCTCCTCCTCCGTGGCTCAGACTGTGGACGACTTCCTGGTGGAGAAGTGGCGCAAGTATTTTCCAAGTAAGCCTCCCTCTAGGCCATGTGTGGTTCTGGGTTCAGCCTCCCCGCCTTCCTCCTCTGCCTACCCCTCGCCCCCGACTTTGGCATGGCCCATTGACTCCGTGGTGGGTGCCTGAGAGGACCTTGCTGCTCGCCCTGTGGCTGGAGGCCCTCTGTGTCTTGACGGTTTACCGGATGGGGCCTTTACGATGGATGCTAGAGCTCAGCCGACCCTAGGAGGTCGCTGTTGTCAGTGTCATGATCGCTGCCATCTTGTGTGTTATATATATTATGGCCAGGCATTTTATGTATGGTTTTTCATTTAGTCCTTATATTAATCCTCTGAGGTTATAATATTTATTCCCATTTTACAGGTAGGGAAACTGAGACTCAGAGGTTAAGCATTGAAAATATGCTCCAGGGTACCCAGGGAGTGAGCAACAGACTGGGTTTTGACCCCATGTCTCTGTGACTCTAGGGTTCATGACCCCTTGGCTCTATGTGGCCTACCCTGGTCTCATAACCCTGCTAAGGAATGTGAAAAGCCATAAAAACAGTTATTTGAAGGAAAAAGTTCGTCTCCTTATCCCAGCCCAAATTGAAAATAATTTCAGTTTTAGAAATAAAATAAATAGGACCATTCCTGGCCATCCTCTGTCTCTCACCTCCAACCACAGAAGCTTCTCCTGTTTTTGTCTGGGGGGCAGTGCCTTTGCAGTTTCTCGGGGAAGGCAGGAGGGGGCTGGCTCAGATGAACTGCTGCCCATTTCTGAACGCTTTCCTCCCACTTTTCCAGCTGGCATCCCGTTCCTCAGCAGTGGCCCTGCCCCCCTGGAAAACAGGCTGGGGTATGTGTCTGCCAGGTAAGCCTCCCTGTGGGCTCAGGGTGGAGCCACACCATTCAGCTGCTCGCTGCAGCTCCCTGGGCAGGTGGGACCTGGGAGGGGGACCAGAACTCCTTGTCACATCACCCAGAGCGGTTAGGCAGGTCCCCAGGCCACGAAGCTGCCTGGGTCTGTGGTGCATCTCCACAGCCAGCGAAAAGTCCCAACCGATGAGGTCCCAGCGGGGCCCGGCGGGCCTTACCTGATCCAGCCCTGTGAGGAAGCTGCCCTGTGGCACCTTGGGGAGAAATGGGCCCCTGGTGGGGCCCTGCCCCTTCCAGCCCTGGAGTGTGGCCTTCGTCTCTTGCCCTGAGCTCTCTGTCTGCATCACACGGCTCCCTTCTTCCCCCAGGCCCGCTGAGCAACATCTGGAGTGAGAGGGGGCACCCTGTAGGGGGAGACAGATGGGCAATTATTAGTTTCTCGTTCATCTTATTCCTTACCGAATGTAGCCCCTGATGTATCCCTGCAGGCCCCCAACCATAAGTACAACCCCTCTCACCCTTTGGCCAACTTGGGAGCTGATGCTGGCAAGGTATTTGAGTTGATAGAGAGGGAAGCTTTTGCAGATGAGATGGGCCGGGAACAGGCAGATGTGGGAGCCTCACTGTCAGGAGCGTTCACCCTTTCGGGAACTGATGCTCCTCATCCCCGAGGGGCATTCTTGCCTTGCTCCAAGACCCCCCCCTCTGGCACTCCTGCCTCCTCTGCCCTCCCCGCAGTGAGCAGCTCCGCCTCCTGCAGCGTCCCCCCTCCCAAGTCCCCGAGGCGGGCAGCACCAACTTCCAGGACATGATCGAGGCTCACCGCAAGTGGCTGGAACATTACAAGAATGACCCCAAGTCGTATCTTTTTAGCTGCTCTCCCAACCCCGATCCCTTCTTGCTGTAACTGCCAAGTCGTGTGGGCCCTCGGGGTGCAAGGAGGACCCCGTTGGGCCTGTGACCCTTCCCCAGGCGTGCTTAGCTGACTGCAGAGTTTTCCTTTACCTTGTGGCCAGACATCTCTTCTCTTCGGTGCCCAAGCCAACGGCTGGTTCCGGCCTCCTGCAGCTGGGCCTGGATGAGAACAACAGACTGAAGGTGTATCGCTACTGAGGCCCTGAGCCCTGAGCCGGCACGCAGCCTGGCCTCTCCTGCGTCCAGACCAAGTGTCCGAGTTGCTGCCTGCACTTCACTCCCTCTGATGATAAAGCGTTCTCCCGTCCCCTCTTTGCTGTTTGCCTCACTCAGAACCTAGAGGAACCACGGGGAACCGGTGGCATTGGTGGGGGTGGGGGGAAGGACGGTATGACCAGAAACAGTAAGCCGCCGCCCCAGACCGTGTAACGCATCTCGGGCTGCCCTGTGTGACTCCTGCGGACTGGCAGCACTGACGTGGGGCAGCGGGGACAGGGGCACCTTCGCGAGAAGGTAGCACTGGAGGAGCTGCCTCCTTCCGAGGCCAGGGGACTCCTTTGGAGCAGAGTTGGCCTCTCGGACCTGCAGGGCCTGCTTGGCACTCCCAGGGTCACGTGTGTGGTCCTTAATTCGTCAGAACAAAGCCCCCCACAGCGTGTCTGTACCCTGGGACCAGGCCCCGTCTCTCTAATACCTCAGCCGTGTAGAGATCAGACTTTCTGTTTTTTTTTTTTTTAATGTCCCCTTTCTTGAGTGTGCTCCCTCCTTTTGACTCTCTCAGTATTGGGCCCAGAGCCCTGCGGGAGGTGGCTGGAGGCTGGGCCCGGAAGTTTTGCTGCCTGTCTTCCCTCTGCTGGCCCTGGGGCTGACCTCAGGAGCACCCCCTTCCCCTTGCCCAGAGCATCCCAGCTAGATTCTCAGGGCTCAAGTACCCAACTATCAGGAAGCCAACAAGCCATAGGAAAAGTCAGGGATGGCTCTGGTCCTCACCTTGGCTTTCTCTTCCCGGACCACCTTGGGTGTACACGTGCGTCATTTTCATCCGTCTTTTCCAGCTGTGCCACCGCCCACCCCATCCCCCTGCCGCCCCTCCTCAGAGCTTGGAGACTTGTTCTGGAGGAGGTGAGGGGCCTGGCCTTGGCAGGGAGGGACCAAGTGCCAATGGGAGCTGCTGCCATTCTGGCACGGGATCCTGCAGCCCCACCTCCCATCAGTGGGCTCCTCGGGGGGACATGCAGGGGATGTTCAACGTCTGCCCCATTGTTTAAATACAATGCCCCCATTTTCCCTGTCTTGAAAGCCGTGGGGTTGCCCTTGCATCTCCAGTGCGTAGAAACCAACTCTCCACCATCCCACCCTCGTTCCTCTGTCATGGGGTAAGAAACTAAGATCTCATACGTTACAACCAACTCTGGTGACAATCCTGTGTTTTTTACGTCAATTAAATCGCTGCAGGTCCAGTTGCTACAAGGCAGTTGTGTGAATGTGTCTCCTTTTTGAAGGACTTTCCCTCCCTGTATTTTTAAGCAGGAGGCAAATTAATATTCACAGAACACCTAGGTATCGGATCTACTCACATGACAAACCTGTGATGTAGATAGTTTTAGCTCCATTTCTATGGATGAGAAAACCAAGCCTCAGAGATCTTTAAGTGCCTGAGGTCCTGGAGAAAGCAGCTGAGTTCCCTATAAGCGCAGAGCCTCATACGCCATCACTGTGCCCTGAGAGCTCCCATCCCAGTGGGGAAGTGTCCCAGCCTCCCGACTCCACTTACCGGCCCCGAGACTTACTTACTGTGCCATTTCCCAAAGGCCACTCGTCGTCGTTTTCCCCATGCAGACGAATGAAAGGTAAGCCCCCTGAAGTCCTAGGCTGGCAAAGTTAGGTGAGTTTTTCCTGCTCCGGTGGTGTGAACAGCCTTCGTAGTCTTGGATTTGTAGCAACAAAATTGCTGGAAGAACCAACTGAGAATCAGGCCGTGTTTCATAGACTCGCAAAAGAAAACCGACTTAAAGACAACATACAAAGGAACCCAGCCTCCTCTGTGTCCCAGTGTCCGAGCCGCTCTGAGGACGGGAAGGAGGAAGGCGCTGAGAGGAGCCTGCGGATGACTCGTCATGTGCAGCCCACTCAGATCTCACAGTGGAGGGAGCGGCCCAGAGAGATCACGGGAGAGGCCAAAGGCGGGGCCTTTGCATGGCGGGGGCAGGACCAGATCTGAGCAGTCCTGACTCCTAGCCTGGGGCTTAAGGAAAGAGTATTTTTAAAAGGGTGTTTATTTTGAATAGGCTCTGAGTTCACATGGCTCAATATTCGAATGGTACAAGAGTCAGCCCATCCGTGGGCCGTTTCCTCGAAGGTAACAAATATACCAGATTTTATGTAAATAAAAGAAAGAATGGAGACTGTTCTGACTCTTCCCTTTTACTGGTGGGGTAAGGGTCATTCCTCCCGTGGGGATCAGACAGTTGCCCAAAGCTCTTCTGTAAGACATTCATTGCCTCTTAAGGGAGCAATGCTGAGCATGATAATAGCCCCCCCCCCACCCCCGTAACACATTAAAAACTTCCACACAGAATGGCAGTATGGGGGTGGGGAAATAACCCTGGCCTTAGGACACCTGGGTTTACTTCTCGCTCTGACATCTACAAGCTCTGCGACCTGAGCAAGTCCTTTCTGGGCCCATGTCTTCCCTGGTCAAAAGCTCGAAGCCCAAATCCACAGTCCAGGGACAAAGCAGGGTAGCTGCCTCAGATGCGGTGACTGAGGGGCCTGCCTTGGGTGGAGAGCTGCCCTCATCCGGAGAGGGACTGAATACGTCCAGTGGCCTAATATAGGCCCCAGGTGGGGAGGGGTGCTGGCAGGGGTTGCCCATACCTCCAGCAGCTTCTTTGGAGAAGTGATGGTTAAAAAAAATGGATCAAGTACCATCACCAGTGCTGATGAATTGGAATGTTTCCTCATTCCTCCTTGAAACTTCTGCATCTCCAACCTAGGCCCCCGGCCTCCCTGCTTAGCTTTGCCATCTCCAGCAGGTATGTAGACAGAGGGCCCAGTGAAGGGCAGTGTAACGCCATTTGCCATCATGGAGGAGAGGGGCATCTACTCTTGCGGGGGGGGGGGGGTCCCACTCAAGTTTAAAGGCAGTGGGGGTGTGAATCAAAGGTTCCCACTTTATCCTCCCTGTGCCTTGATTTTCACACCTGTAAAATGGGGTTAATAGAGGTATCTAGCCCAACGTAATAACAAAAATACCAAACAACCCAATTGAAAAATAGGCAGAAGACCTAAATAGGCATTTCTCTAAAGAAGACATACAGAGATGCTCATCATCACTAATTACTAGAGAAATGCAAATCAAAACTACAATGAGGTACTACCTCACACCAGTCAGAATGGCCATCATTAAAAAGTCTACAAACAATAAATGCTAGAGAGGGTGTGGAGAAAAGGGAACCCTCCTACACCGTTGGTGGGAATGTAAATGGGTGCAGCCACTATGGAAAACAGCATGGAGGTTCCTCAAAAAACTAAAACTAGAGTTGCCATATGATCCAGCAATCCCACTCCTGGGCATATATCTGTACAAAACTATAATTCAGAAAGATACATGCATCCCTATTTTCATAGCAGCACTATTCACAACAACCAAGACATGAAAACAACCTAAATGTCCATCAACAGATGAATGGATAAAGAAGATGTGGTATATATATACAATGGAATACTACTCAGCCATAAAAAAGAATGAAATAATGCCATTTGTAGCAACATGGATGGACCTAGAGATGATCATACTAAGCAAACTATGAAACAGAAACAGACGCACAGGTAAAGAGAACAGACTTGTGGTGGCCAAGGGGGAGACGGGGTGGGGGAGGGATGGAGTAGGAGTTTGGGATTAGCGGATGCAAACTAGTATATATAGGATGGATAAACAGCAAGGTCCTACTGTATAGCACAGGGAACTATATTCAGTATCCTGTGATAAACCATAATGGAAAAGAATATGAAAAAATATATGTATAACTGAATCACTTTGCTGTACAGCAGAAATTAACACAACATTGTAAATCAACTATACTTCAATAAAATTAAAAAAAAATTAAAGACGATTTAAAAATAGCAGTATCTAGCCCATAAAATGGTTATGAGGATTAAAGAAGTTAATCCATGTAAAGTTCTCAGTGTTCAACATGCAGTAAGGGGAATGATGTCACCAAGACGGTGACATAGGGTGTTCCTGACTTTGCCCCCCACCACAAGAGCAACTAACAACGATTCATGGTCAAGACACCATTGAGAAAATCCTAGAACCCGGGAGCAAGGATGAAGCACCTTCTGTACCACAGAGACCCAGGCAGGCCACACTGGGGGGTGGGGGTGGGAAGAGGGTAAGAGGAGCGGCTACACACTGACCACATTGCCCCTCCCCCAGGTCAGCACAGCCCGCCCCACACCGAGAGGTCTCCCTTGGGCCTATGGTTCCTCCAGAGGGAAAAGAGAGTCCAGGGGTGACATCCAGCACCCCCAGAATTGTGGGTCACTTCATGGGAGCCCTGGTTTCACCCCCTTGGATTGCAGGAGACTCTGTGGGGCTCAACCACTGGGAATCTGATGGTGATGGAGAAGGGGGAGAGGCCTCCAGCACTGGGTCTTGGCAGACCAAATTCCCACTTGCAGAGCCCACGTAGTAGTCCCAACCTGTGTCTTTGCTCATTTGCAGAACAAGTCGATGGTGCAGTGTGACCAGGGAACTTGGTGGGGTGCAGGTCTGCACGACTCAGCTCCTCAAATGAGGAGTTCTGCAGTCCCTGGATCCTGGTCGTCTCACTTCCAGGCAGAAGAGCTGAGTCGTAGCCCCACCAGCTGTGGTGTGCCTCCCAGCTCCTCCCAACCAGAAGGCCTCCTTGGGAAAATCTGGGAGTTGTCGGAAGCGGCCTCCCAGTCCTGCCCAGGCAGGGGAACAGACATAGCCCTACCGGCTGCCAGTTTGGCTCTTGGCCCATCTAACAGGAAGCATTACTGAGAACACCTGGCAGCTGCTATGTAATCCTGCAATGCTTGAGTCCAGAGGCAGGGGGCAGAGCTGATCACCCCCAGAGCAAAGCCAGTAGCCCTGTTGGACCAGGGAACTTGGGGCACAGGTCAGCTTGAGTCAAGACCACAAAGAGCCTTAGTGGCCTTGGAGCTGTTCTCCCAGATCCTGGGCAGAGAAACTAATTCATAGCCCCACTTATTGCTGAATACAGCCTTTAGCCCACCTGACCAGGGAACCCTCCCAGAGCACATGAGAAGCTGCATAGCCCATCCAACAGCCCCTAGCCCAGTGGCACTAGGACAGAGAGCACAGCCTGTGGCTTTCCCTGTCTACAGAGCAAAACTGGTGGCCTCACCTGACCAGGATATTCTGTGCACAATCTTGCCTGATTTGGGTCCTCAAGCAATGAGCCATGCAGGCCCTGGGTCCCATTCTGCTGCCCAAGAAGGGCAAGAAAGCTAATTCATAGCCCCACCAACTGCTGAGAATAGCATCCAGTCCCAACTGTGTAGGAAGCCTGACCAGAGAACTCAGGCAATGACAGAGCCCATCCTACAGCCTCACTTGGGTAGGGAACCATGTCAGCAGTCTTATCCAGCTGTTCTTAGCCAGTGGCATCCCCCCCCTCCCCAACTTCAGAGCTTAAACAGTTGCCTCACACAATAATAGATCCTAGTAGCAGGCCCCACCAGCAGATACATCCAGAAATCCAAACTGAGCTGAGAAGTGAACTGTCTCTGCCAAAGCAAACCTGCAAATTCTGGAGGAAGAGACCACTTACTCAAATGGGAAGATATCAACATAAGGAATCAGTGACCAAGAAAAATCAGATAAATATGATACCACCAAAGGAAACTAATACAGTTCTAAAAACTGACCCTAGAGAAATGGAGATCTATGTTCTGTCAGACAAAGAATTCAGAATACTGCTTTTAAGGAAGTTTAGTGAGCTACCAGAACACACAGATGACTAAATGGAATTAGGAAAACAATGCATGAACCCAACAAGTTCAGCAACGAAATAGAAACCATCCAAGAAAAAAAAGAAAAGAAAAAAGAAATCCTAGAGCTGAAAAATACAATTGAAGAATTCAATAGGGAATAGAAAAGCAGACTCAGTCATGCAAAAGAAAGAGTCAGCAACCTGGAAGATAGGAAATTTGTAACTGTCCAGTCAGAGGAGCAAAAAGAGAAAAAAAAAAAAAAAAAGAGTGAAGAAAGCCTATAGAGGGCTTCCCTGGTGGCGCAGTGGTTGAGAGTCGGCCTGCCGAGGCAGGGGACACGGGTTCGTGCCCTGGTCTAGGAAGATCCCACATGCCGCGGAGCGGCTGGGCCCGTGAGCCATGGCCGCTGAGCCTGCGCATCCAGAGCCTGTGCTCCGCAACTGGAGAGGCCACAACAGTGAGAGGCCCGCGTACTGCAAAAAAAAAAAAAAGAAAGCCTATAGAACTTATGGGACACAAGGTAAAGAAACAGCATTTACATTATGGGAATTCTGGAAGGATAAAAAGAGAAATGGATAGAAGGTATATTTAAAGCAATAATAGTTGAAAACTTTCCAAAGAAGGGGATAGAAGTAGACATCCAGATCCAAGAGAATCTCAAATAAGTTGAACCTGAACAGGGCTACACTGAGACACATTATAATTAAACTGTCAAAAGTCAAAGACAAAGAAAGAATTTCAAAAGCAGCAAGAGAAAAGAGAAGTTACATATAAGGGAATCCCTGCAAGACTGTTGGCAAATTTCTCAACAGACACGTTTCAGGTCAGAAGAGAATGGGATAAAATATTCAAAATATTGAAAGGAAAAAAAAACTGTCAACCAACAGTACTATACCCAGTGAAACTGTCCTTCAGAAATGAAGGAGGGATAAAGACTTTCCTGAACAAACAAAAACTGAGGGAATGCATCACCATTAGACCTGCCTTATAAGAAAAATTAAAAGGAATTTTTTGAGTGGAAATAAAAGGACTCTAATTAATATCATAAGAACTCAGAAGGCAGTGTAA